GCCTGCCACGCGGGGCCCATGGCTTCGGCGTCCTCTGTGGCGTACCCCGCTTCTTGAGCTACTGCACTTGATGAAGGATGTACTTTGAGCACGCACTCGGTCGATCATCCCTAGATGGACACTCACCCATCTTTTCCGAACAAGTCGCGGTCGTTTTCTACGTGCGTGACAGGTGAGTTCAGAAAATCTTGGTCATCTGCAAACATACCTGGAGAGGTTGGCTTTGAATCGTTTGGCTCGGCGATCGTAGTAGGCGCCGGAGGCACGGGAGGCAGCGAGTTCGACCGGGCAAGGGCGAAGGAAATCAACGCATTGGACCGTTGAGCGCGACGATCGTCCATCTGCAGGGGCCGGGATGCGACATCTGCACTATCGTCAACCGGTGGCCTTAGGGGGAAGATTGTCGTACTGACGGGTCGGCCCCGCGCTGGGCTGATCAACCGTGATCTGTCCCACCAAAGTATCCCGACGAAGAATCAATCCAGGGAGATTCGTGTGCCGCACCCAAATCTTGATGACCACGGGAGACAAATCTTCGCCCGAGCTGGAGGAGCATCAGAGGGCTGACACGGGGACAGACTCGGGTACTTACAAGCTGAAGGCATCGTCCCATATCGGTTGATTCGTCTTCGGCGAGATGGGCGTTCGCAACGACTCCCGCCCTGCCTGTATGGTGCAATAATGACGGTGTTTGCCTAAGCCCGTGCAACGTAAGCCTATCCTCAGCGCCAAATCAGCACGACAAGCACTCAAATGTCCACAGGACGCACCTGTGAGCTCGATCATGGCAGGTATCCCAGCCTCGCCGTTAGGATGTCTCCTCGAGTCGCGGACGGTGAGGTCCCTTGAATGTGAGCTATCAGTTGCACCAACGCCGGCGTAACAGGGTAAGAGGAGGAGGGTTTGAAGCGGTGTGGGAGTCTGCCGTGAAGCGAACTGCCTGCATGGTATTCACGGGACCATCCCCATCAGACGGAGCATCGCCCTGAATAGCCCAACCTATTGCCGATCGCGGATAAGGTGGTGGTAGAATGGCAGGTGGGGGTGGTGCCGTTGGTTTCAGGGTTTCATGAAACAGCCTCAGTACAGGACGTCTTGATTGAAGCCAAGCTTCAGTCGGGTTGGGCTCGAGCACCGGGGACGCCGTGTAACGACGGTTGCGGCGGGACTTCAAGCTTGAACATATGTGCGATGTGCAGAAAATCAAGACTGCGCATGACGTGACGGTGGTTTGCTGTAAAAGTGCTGGTAGTGAGCCAGACACCGCGACGCATCACGCCTGCAGTGCTTGCCAATTCGATTATTCGCCTGCGTCCGTCCAGCCGTCCACGAGCGTCTCGACCACTCAAGACATGTAGAGTATATGCCCGCGCAATCCACAAAATCTGACGGGGTCAAGGCGGAATAGGTACCGTATTGTAGAGCTGGCTACGGAACATTCATGATAAGATCTTAGATTTCTGTGGTTCGGTGATACATGTTCGAGAGCATAAACAAAACAATTCAGCACGACTTGTGGACAGAGAGCATGCAGAGTAATATATGAGGCGGCAAGCGCCAATGCGCCAGAAAGCAGGCGAACACAGCGAAGTAAGCAGCAGAGCAGAACACATTCTTGTCCATATATAAGCGAGTATGCGAATTAGCAAGGAGCGGAGAGTGGGCTACGACGTTATTCACGAGCGCATCCCTGATAGATATATGTCGATATGCGTGCATAAATGCGTGGAATGCGACGTGTGCTGAGATGCTACATTATCGAGATGGGTGGCAAGTGTCGATAGGGTGCGTGATGTGGTGTGGAAGGGTATATCACGCCGAGACCGGAATGGCCTACATCCTTCTCGCAGCCTTCGGGTTGTTCTCCTTGCCGGTGCCACTCTGCTCGCTCTCGCTCTGATTCGCCGCGTCTCGGCTCTTGATCGGCGTCCTCGTCGATTCGTCAACCGACACACGCTTTCTTACGCTCGTCGTCCAGGAATGAGGTATGGCCGAGGGCGAGGAGCGAGCGCCGGAAGGCGACTGGTGGTTGAGCCTATGCGAGGTGTGGACGTTGTTCCAGACACGGAAGACCGGGGCTCGAAGATGGATAAAGGGAAGCCCATTGTCCCTGCGATCCTCGCTTTTGTTGCGGTGCTCGATCCGCTCGAGCCCACGGACCCTACCGAGTCGGGATTCGGGCGAGACGTGAGCGCCTTGGCTGTCGTATTGGCTTCGGACATGGTCGACGAAGGTCGAGAAGAGTTGAGTGTGTCGGCGACGACGGATGGCCGACGCAAGGCCGGCGTAGCCAGCACCGACTCCTGTCGCGTCGCCTTGGAGAGCGTAGGTGCACCTCCCGTCGCAGCGCGGACAGCGAGTTTCCATTTCACCTTCAAGGAGTTGAGATCAGCCTTGTCTTTGCACACGAAGACCGAACAGCTGACAAGTCTCAGCTCTTGCTGCTCGGAATCCAAAGCAACATCCAGGCCTTCGTTATCCTCTTCCTTAGCCACGAGCTGCTTGCTCATGCACTATCTTCAGGTGCTTGTCGGAACCCTCCATCTTCAGCTCGTGCGCCCCCTTCCGCAGCTTGTTTGCCTCGATCGCCGAGCGCCTTGACCCGCTCCTCGAGGGCCCGGAGCTGCTCCTCCGCCTCGGCCTTCTCCTCGATTACTTGCGAGACGCGTTCGTCGGAGCACTTGTCACTCTCGTCAAGCGTCCGGCGATGCTCGCCTGCAAGGCGATCGTGTTCGCGTTCGACGGCGGACAACTGCTCGCGAAGGCTCTCGCTTGTCATCGCATGAGACGACACGACGGCTAAGGTTCTCGATCTCGGCGTCGAACTCCTGGACAAGTTCTTCTGCGCGTGCAGCGTTAGCGACGTTCGTGCTCCAGCTCGGATATGCGTACGTCGCATTCTTGAACAGCCGACTCCAGTTCATCAGCGTGAGCGCGTTCCCGCCCAATCTCTTCCTCGAGCTGAACGCCTCGTTCAGCCACCGAACGCTCAACCGCGCAACGGGATGCTTACCTGTTTCCCCCCGCGCTCCGAATCCTCCTTGACAGCGAGGACCTCTTGCACCTCGGCCTCCAGCTCCATATTCCTGTTATCGCTTGGCTGCCACTCCACCTCCATCCTTCGCTGACACTCTGATCAAACTGCGCCCTCGCCACATCATTCTCCCTCGTCGCGGTTCATCTTTTCGTCAGCCTCCTCCGTACCATTCTACTGCGCTTCGAGTTCGGCCTTGAGCAAATCGTACTCCTGTTTGCGCTTCGTCCGCCGCTCCTCCAGCCCATCGATCGGGCCCGCGCGCTGTCACGCGTCCCGCTTCTCCGCGAGCGATAGTTCCAGAGCCGCACGCTCGTGCTCGCATATCACCATGGAATTGTCGCCCTCGCCTGCCGCGAGCCGCTCCATCATCTCCATGTGCTCCTTCACCTCACGGATGCCCCTCGCAACTTCCTCGCCTCGTTCTGGTCCCGTAGAACGGACTACTTCTTCCCTGCCGCTCCTCGCTCAGCCTCCCATACAACGACGCGGCTCCGCTCATCCGTGACACTCCTCTCAACGCTTTCCTATCGACCCCTATCCACATGCTTCTCCGACCCTCGACACGTCCTCTCCAGTTCCCCAACGCGATTCTTCTACGCCCGGCGCTTCTTCACCTCCGCCTCCACGCGCGCACTTGCCCGCGAGCACGTTCACGAGCACGTTCCTTGCCCGGAGATCGATCTCGAACAGCTTGCACATATCCTCCCGGAGCAAGAGCTACGTGCCCAACGACATGACCCGATCTTCCTCAGCCGGCGTCGTCCTGCGTCGAGCAACATCGCCATGCTGATGGCCTGCACGATCCATCGTCGAAGGCCGCTAGCGACATACGTCCTCCTACGCCCGCCAATCTCCGCTTCATCGCGCGTTTCACCTTCGACGTCGATGTCAGTGTCAGTTGAGCGTTCGAATGCGATGAAATCAGCATACCAAGGGACACTCTCGCTGACGGTCCGTCCAGCGCGAGCAATCGACGCTCCAAGCGACATCTTCCCTGCACCCGGTGGGCCGATAACCAACGGTATCGGGGCCTTGACGCCCCCTTGCGCCCTCTCCTTCCACACCACCCACCAAGCGCACGCCCTCCCTCACCTGCTTCCCTGATCAACCACCCGCGCCGGAGAACTCTCTTCCCCGTCGACCGGGGCGCGAAACCAGACGACGGCCAAGTACTCGATGAACCGGCGATTGACCATGTCGATGCCGTAACGATCCCGCCTTAGCTGTGCGCGCGCCTTCTGCAGAAAAGGCCGTGTTGGCCAGGATCCCGTCGTTCTCTTTCGCGTGGTCGCTTGGAGTGGTCGGCCAGAGAAGCGCGACGAGCCATTCCAGCTACAAAATGCAAGACAAAATCAGCATCGTGCTTCCATCGAGAACGAGACGCATATAAGCGCAGAGAACCACTCACGTATAGCTCCTCACGACCCCAGCCTCGGCACTGCTCGGCTGAATCCTTCTCGTTCGCTTACACGCCTTGGTCGCCGCGTCTTACGTTCATTGGATCCAGGCACGAGCGCCCCCATCCTCGCCCGGAGCGCCGCGAGCTCGTCCGCATCCGCGCCTTCGTCGGTATCGAGGTCGCTCGCCGGCGGCGCACGGTGCCCTGCGCGTCATCGCCGATGAGCCCGCGCGACGAGGACAAGATCAACGCTAGAACATCGAAACGGTTCAGCTTCACAGTACTCAGGGATCGACGAATGGAGGAAACTCACCGACGAGCTCCTTCTGTATGGCGGATCATCCCGCCGCCGGACTTAAACACCTTCTTGCTGCCGACCGAGGCTCTCCGCGACGTCGCTCGCCGCCTCCGAGCTCATTTCGAGGATGCTCGAGCGCTTGATGCAGAGCGCCATCGCGCACTGCGATCGCGCCGCGAGCGTCGGGCGTGCACAAAGTACTCTGTCGAGAAGGAGCACACGACCGGCGCCGTGTTCTTGTCGTGGGATACGAGGGCGTTCGTGCACGGGTCCTTTGGTCGTCTGTCGTATGTGCCGTGGCGGGGGCGGGCCTAGCGGGAGACGGCGTCGCTGGTGTGGAGGACGTGGAGGAGGGCATCGCCGACGGGCACCGAGAGGAGGGGCATCAAATGAGCGGTTGGCAGGAGCAGAAGCGGGTACGGGAGAGGCAGGATGTGGAGAGGGGGGGGTAGGGGTGCGTATTCCATGGCGTATAGATGTGTGCTTCAGGGCCTCTTACGCGACGAGGAGTCGGTTCACATATGGTCCCTAGGCGATAGTCGATGTCTTGCGGTGAAGGCAGCATCGACGGCATGAGGTATTAACGCAGAGTACATTCTTGTTGTTGTTGTCGTCGTCGTCGTCGTCGTCCGTGGCGGCGGTGTGCAAGATACTCGGAGGGCCCGTGCCTCGGATAGGCCGGGAGCAGAATGAGACAGAAGCCCAACGCGGATCTGATAGCGCTGCAAATACGATCATCCAAGCAAGGAGGATAGTCAGGCCATTGGCGCTGGTGCACGCTGTGCGCGGCTGCTACTGCTGACGTCGATGAGGGCGGAGGGAAAGGAGGAAAGCAGGCATGTGCAAGAGAGGTCGAGCTCGCAACGCGGGGAAGGGAGCACGGGCTCCAAACAGGTCGTCGCTACATATATAACCTCTGTTGCCCGGCCAACTTCTCTACATTTCAACTTAACTTACATACATAGACGGTGCTATGACGCACCTCTCGGTTTGACTTGCGCACTCTAATTGAATTCGACCAAGCGTTCTGGATAACGCCCGTTCTTCGCAGACGTGAACGCTCAGCGCCGAAAGCCCCGTTCTTTTGACATGTCCGACGTCGGATACGGACCCGGTTGCTTGTCTTGGCACAAACGTCCACGACCGCTCGTCGCCTACACGAGTACAAGGCTTCAATTGCTCCAGATGGCTGAGCGCGAGCTCCTAGACACACATGATGCTGCTCGACGATCAGAAAAGCACAAAAAGGTGCGTCAACGTCACTATGATCGCTTCTCTCAATCGGAAGACATAGCGAAATCATTCCCGACTGCGCTCTTCGCTCCTTTAACCTTATTCGACCACGCCCTCCTCTCCAAGCTCGTACTCCACCGCGCTCGCCGGAGTTTCGTGAACACGCCGAGAGCCCGTAGCACGAACAATCGCGACCGCTGCCCTCGCTGCCTCCCTCAGCTAGAACCCGGTCGTTCCCTCCATCGCTGTTCGCCGTACGCATACCACCGACAGCCCAAGTTCGGACTGCTGGAGCAACGCCTGGTACCTTGATAGCTCGAAGCCCAACATCGAGAGGCGCCGCTTGCACTCACTGCGTCGTGTTCGCTACCATCCCTGTCTAGCTATCAAAATACAGCGGTAAAAATGCACTTAGCATGTATCCTGAATGCCAACGCAAATACATCATATGCGTGTCGTGTGTTCCGTCTCCGAACGATCCGAACAATCATCGCAGCAGCCATCGGCATTCTCAGTGCTCTCCACCAGCTTCGCCCTCGTCCGTCCTGGGCTCGTAGAACTTGTAGCACTCTGCCCACCTCTTGCCGTGCACGAAGCGGCTCAAATCCAGCATCGTCGTCTCCTCCGAGGGCAAGAACAGTCTGGACGCAGGTTGCCAGAGGTTCCAACGACTATGCTGTGGGACCCAGAGTAGTCGCTCGTCGTTGGGACCTAAAATCCATCCATCATCGACCGATCCCCATGAGGTTAGTCCGAATGAAGCTTTCATGCGCGCGTGGCTCCATCCTTGCTCGTCGTTCGTGAAGAACGTATGAGCGTCACGGAGTCGATGTTCGGGGTCGGATGAGAAACAGATGGAGATTTGAGACGGAGAAGCAGGGGACGTCGTGTCCTCATCTGTAGTTGCACCATGAGTGGATGACTTGGGATAACAAAGGAAAACGTCACCTGTAGATTTTGAACTCGTCAACTCCGAAGATAATGGTGCACCGGTTCCGGTATCGCCGTAGAACATCGGCTCTTCGACTGCTGTTTTGTCCTGCATGAGTGGCTGGGCAGGCTTGCCGATAAGCTCTCGGATGTCCCAAGACCGGACAGAGCCATCCACGCAGCCGGAAACGATGCAGCTCGTCTTAGACGACCATTTGACCGATGTGACCAGGTGCGAATGTCCTCGTAAAACGGCGACCAGTGACCCCGAGGTCGTCCCTACGCCCCAAATCCGTACCGTGCCATCCAGAGATCCTGAGATCACATACTCATCGTTGGAACAAAATACCACGGAGCTCACGGGGCCGTCATGGCCAACCAAAGGCTCTCCGATGGGATCCCCGGACTCTGCGTCCCACAGCCGGACCGCGACGTCATCCGATCCGGAAACGATTCGGCTCCCGTCTGAGGAGTATGCGACGGAATTGACCTCATCGGTATGACCTTGGAGAGGCTCTCCAACAGGCTTTCTAGTCTCCACATCCCAGATTCGGAGGGTCTCATCCATTGATCCGGAGACAAGTCGTTTGCCGTCGATGGGCGATAGTGAGAGAGATGTAACACCAACGTGGTGTCCGCGCAAAGATTCGCCGAGCGCTTTACCAGTCTCCACGTCCCACACACAGATAGTGCCATCCGCAGACCCTGAGATCACTTGCTGGCCGCCGGGCGTGAAGAGAATAGAGAAGACGGCGTCTATATGCGGGTCTTTCCACGGCTCTCCGACGACGGTTCCTTTCTCTACATCCCGTAGTCGGATGCTACCATCGTTATAGCCCGAGATTATCCGACTGCCATCTGGAGAGAATGCGACACACCGAATTGAGGTACCACTCTGCAGCTCGTCACCGCCAAAAGGTTTCCCAATGGCCGCTTGTGTTGCAGTATCATAACACCGATGCCAGCTATACAAGTCAGCCGCGACGATTTGGCTGCCATCGGAGGTCACATCGATGAACAAAACAGGAGTTGGAGTGCCAGAAGCCTTGGTCGTTGCCATCTCTGCCGTGTGCCACACTCGTACATGTCCGTCGTATGATCCAGAGGCTATGCGGGATCCATCCGGGGAATACGCCACAGACAGAACTGCTATACTCTGGCAATGAACCGGCTCTCCGAGTTTGGCTCCGTTCTTCGCGTCCCACAGTCGAATCGTGTCGTCGAATGATCCGGATACGATGTACTTTCCGTCGGGGGAGAAACTCGCAGACGTCACACCACTGGTGTGACCCACGAGCGGGCCTACTATCGTCTGCCCAGATTCTGCATCCCAGACTCGAATTGTGCCATCCCTGGATCCCATCACGACGCGCTTGCTGTCAGGTGAAAAGGCGACGCAATCGACAGAATCATCGTGTCCTGAGAGAGGTCCTGCCACGACTTCTTGTGATTGCGCATCCCATGTGCGTATTGTATGATCCTTAGAGCCAGAGACCAGGCGCGTTCCATCTGGTGAGAATCCTACAGAGTATACACCGTCTGTGTGGCCCTTCATGGGTTCTCCGAGCATTTGCCCCGTGCTCGTATCCCATAAGCGAATAGTCCTATCATCGGACCCTGAGACTGCACGCGGATCATCAGCCCGAGGCGAGAATGCGACAGAATTGACTTTGTCGGTATGGCCGCGGAACGGTTCTCCAATCGCCTTGCCATCTGATGTATCCCACATTCGGATGGTGTTGTCGGCGGAGGCTGAGATGATGTGCCTCCCATCCGAAGAGAATGCTACCGAATAAACTTCACCCGTATGACCCTCGAACGGCTTTCCGACAGCCTGACCTGACTCGGCGTCCCACATACGAACAGTACAGTCTTCAGAGCCCGAAACTATCCACTTCCCATCGTGTGAAAACTGGACAGATCTGGTCCCATATCGGTGACCTTGCATTGTGCATCGTAACGCCGGCCAATGAGCCAGTCGACCTTGCGAGACCCTCGCGCTCTCCGGAAAGAACTCCATGTAATTCTGAGATACGAGCGAAGTCTCCGGAGTGAAGGGAAGAGCAGAGAGATAGATGTGGGGTGCCGAGATTGAGATCACGTCCCAGTATAAGCTGAGGAATCTATCGAGATCCTCGACCAAGCGAAGAACATCGCTCGCCTCATCGTTTCCCTAAAAGATACCGCCTCGTTAAGACATGAATATGGTTCGGTATAGGAATGCTCACCGTCAAGGCTCTCTTCAACGTCAGCAATGCGGACGAGCCCGACTGTAATGATTTTAACAGGCTCAGTGCTTCTAACCAGAACAAAGCCCGAGTCTTGAGAAATCCATCGATCTGAGGGAGCAATCCGGGAGACAGAGTAGCCCCGGGTCCAGAACCGATATGGATATGTTGTGCCCAATAACGGACTGCGTAGATGAGACCAGGCGTCATGTTGTTCGGAATACGCTGATCAAGACCATCGTACTCGTCGTTAAGCTTGTACGACGTCTCGAGGTGGCAAATGTTGAATTTGAGATATGTCGTCATGATGCGCAATGATGATTGGGCGAGAAGATCATCTGCGGCTTTGACATGTACGTGGTAGTTCCCGCTCCTTTTGGCGTCGGTAAGAAACTCCCGAAAGGAACTGTGTAGCGGACGAATCCGAGTCCGCGTATCTGAATTCAAAACGCCGTACATCAGCGAGCCCGCGGCCTTGAGTAGGTTGGATGTGCGGTCCGGTTCCTCGTGGTTATGAAGGAGCTGTTCCAACGTCCGCAGGGACACAGGCTCTCGCACTGTGAGGGCGCACCCCATCACTCGCTCATAGTGCTCCGACGGATTCTTCCCATACAGCTTCTCCAAGATGGTTTTGTACAAGGAATCGAGCTTACGATACTCCGGACCAGAATTCTGCCCCCCGGAGGCAGATGACAATACAGCCTGGAAACGATCGTGCCAGTTGTAGTCTTTGGGCTCATCTTCACCACGGATAAACGTGCATGCAGTTGATGCCCAATGAAATAGTGACTGCGCCGCCGTAACAAGTTGATTCAACATCAGTCCAGCATCCCACCGCGGATCGGCGGTTATCTTGCGAACAGGGAGGAGTCGGCTTTCAATAAACCTATGAATATCCGCGTCCACGTCACGATGGGGAAGACTGGCGATATCATAGCGTCGCACGGGATCCATGATGTCCTTTTGGTTATCGCGGTTGGCTAAACCATCGAAAGCATCCATGATGTCCTGTTCGTCGCGGGACGTAATCACAAAACGCAATGCGGACGAAAGCTTGGCAAGCCGCGCGATATATGGCAATAGTGTAGCGCGGCTCTTTTCATCGCCGCTTTCGTCCAATGCGTCGATGATGATTACGATGGGACCTATGGCTCGAGCCTCCACATCTTTCGCAGGTCCAACCAAGAGGCCGTTGAACTGACGCTCCAAAGAATCGGTCGTGCTGAGATCGTGCTCGCCCTTAAGAGCGTCGCAGAGAGCTTTCTTCCACCCTACGTCAAAGTTCGCAAGGCTAGCTGCAATCGTGGGGAAGAGGCGCAGGAATTGTCGGTCCTTGATGGAGCTACTGAAACAGAAGATACATCCAAGTCGTTCGTTCACCTTGCACCACTCCGCTACGGAGTGGGCGACCGCAGACTTGCCGGATCCTGCGGGGCCATGGAGCAGGAAAAGGGGTTCGAAGCCCGAAGAGATCCAATTCGAGATCAATTGAATCAGCGGCACGCGAGTGTCCTCTAAGCACCGTTTCTCAGGCACATAGCCGGACCCTGGAGCCTCCAGAAGCTTGTCCAAAGTAAGCGCATCGCCTGCTGATGTTTATCCGCATGGTCATAGATCCGTGGTTGAAAGGACCGACCTATATCTCCAACGCTTCCCAGAACCCTTAACGTGACGATATTCGTAGTCACAATGGTATTGTCCAGAAATTCTTTTACGAGTTTGTCAAGGCATCCCGTGTATTCCTCGACAGCGCCTTTGACATCGCCACCAATATTCTCGACAAGCCGTGACGCTGAGCATGATCTCCCGTAAGCTACATTTCACCTATCGACTGCGATGCTTACTAAAGCCCTCGGTCCTCGCGTATTTGGTAATGAAGTGGGCACATTCGCCGATTTGTCGAGCGATGAGACTCGCGGTCTCTCGTCGGTTGCCCTCTTGACGAAGAGTCTTGGCTTCCTGCATCAGCTTCAACGCCCTATTGATGGTTTCCACCAGATCACGTATGTCTGCATCTTTTTCTGTCTGCGCTATGATAGCCTGCGGTAGAAATGAAGTTGAGTAGCGATTTTCTCCGGAAGCAAACATTACCTTCGGGACGGCTGATATGATGCTCAGGGCCAGCTGCGCGTAGGGATGGATCTATAAATCACATCAAGAGCTATCACAAAGGCATCGATTCGTGCAGTGCTCTTTACCTGAGATATTCCATTCGAGATCGTCACGAAAAATTGTAGCTTATCCAGCAGGAATTTCCATTTCTCGAACGCGTCGCTGTGAGACTCGGCGGCATCCTCGCCGGCTTGGATGGCGTTGGCGACGGTCCCGACAATGCTGGGCGCGGAGCGCATCGCATTAGCACGCGTTTCGGCGTCCTGGAGGAGTTTGCGAAGTTCACTGAAAAAGATAAGCCCCCATGAAGCTGGTGTGTCCGTGCGGTCACTCACCCATCTGCCCCAAACGGATCTTGCTCGTTCTCCACATCCTGAGTTGGAACGTTGCCGTCTCCGCGGCCGGATGACTCGCCCTGAGGAAGCTGTGTCGATGTTTCAGGCTTGGCAGCCGCTGTGGTCCCGGGGCTGAATGGAGGAGACGATACCAATTGGGTAGCGACGAAGGAAATGGAAGCCTTCAAACGCCGATGGCGAAGCCCCTCCATAACCAAAGGTCGATCTATCGTGATAGCATCTGCACAAGCATCACCATCAAGAAGCAAGGGGGAACTATATACGAGCCACGGACCCGTTGGCTGCGAGCCCAGCTGATCGACGGTGACCTGTGCCACTCGGGAGTCGCTGCGAAGTTGATCGCAAAAGAACGTCCGCTGCCTACAGACGTTGATGACGATGCTGGACGCATCACCGTCCCTGTGGATTGCGTCGGTGATATCCATCATAACTGTTTCAAATACATACAGGCAAATGGGGTCATCCCAAGATGGGTCTTTCGTTTCAGGGGAGACGGGCGTCTTGCGCGATGCAGTCCCATATCGTATGGTACAATAGTAGCGACGTTCGGGCAAGCCCGTGCAGCGTAGTCCTGTCGACGATAGTGAGGCGGGTCCACAAGCCGCATAGGTATGAGCACGCGCACCATTTAGTTCCAACATCTTGAGCGGTGTAGTCGCACTGCTATCATTCGTTCGGCCTCCAGACGGCAGCGCGGGGTCTCCTGCGACTTCGGTCATGGCGGGAGGATGAGAAAGATGAAAGGTGGAACGACTTATACGTGTCACCGAATTACGATGTGCTCGCCTGCCGATAACCTCATGTCCTGCGCACCACATGCATGAGAACGCCGCCGTGCTATCTACGCACTCAGCATGCACGGTATCGTACATGACATGAGAAGTTCGGTGGTGTGATGAACACATGCTGTTAAAGTTTCATTCGTACAGAGCGTACGACGTTTCCGATCCCGGGAGGGAAGCATTCGAGCGACATGCGCCGTTCCACTCGTTCGTGCTGCCTTAAAGATCAAGCGGGCGATTGGCCATCGGTCGGGCATTACCCCATAGCTATCAAGGACGGGCTAGAGTTTGTATCAATACCTTGATCCTTGGGGCAAGAGGAGTTGAGTCCAATTTAAGCTTCGTCTCCGGGCACGGAACAACCACGGGCCGCAAGAGTCGCCGGGAGAACTACGAGAAGTTCCAAAGAATCAAGGTCTCGAAGACGGGGTAGGTTTGGCACAGGAGGACCCTCCTCGTTGGGTCGTCGCTGCGGGTCAATGTCTGCCGCGCGCCAGCGTTCTCGAACATATGGCTTTGCGACTTTCCTGAACGATCACAACATTAATACACACGAAGCCGAGATTTCGCCCCGATTACCACAGGAAGTGACATGGAGCAGATGATCGGCGTATCGCGCGGATGAGTGTGCGCATCGTCTCTATGAAAGCTATGGTAACCGAATGGGGCACGCTCAAGCCGAGCCAGTACCGGCTTGCGGAGCCCAGAAACAGTCACGTGGATGGTACCACGCCACAGGAGGACCCCGAATAGTCCATTCAGTCATGAAGGCGAAGGCGTTGCAACTCACGAGCGACATCGCACATGGTGCTTCTCTAAAATACATGCATGTAGCATTGCTTTATATACATAAGATTAGGTGGTACAAACATATGATACGCGAGAACTAGGAGTACAGAAGCTGTTCCGCGGCTCAAGTTGTATATTTCCACGCACCCCTACTGAAAGAGGAAGCTCTGCATAAGCAAGTCCCACGCCCTCCCACCCAGAAAGGAAGCGCAACACGGTCACGCCGACGTTGTGCGTAGGGCTACAGAGGTCGGTAGGGGTTGGAGAGCTCCGTAGAGTAGCCTATTACTGTGTACAATATCCCTGAGGGTATGAGAGACGAAACGAGCCCGAGTGTGTGCCAGGAAGACCGTGGGAAAGCCGGAGTGACAGACTATTCGGGATGTCGAGCGAGAGCGGCTGCACGTAGCCCTTAACGAAGTAAGATACGGCTTCTAAGAGTGTTCCGGTAGCTTAGTTTTCTAGGGGAAAACGATTTTGTAGTGCGTGGCAAACACTATGTTGAAAATGACTTAATTTCACTTAGTCGAACTTGAATAGCACACCAATTGCTTGGGGGACGATAATGCATCATTTTGAGACCGTAAGGACATATGTTATGGGCTTACAAAGGTATTATATTGTCAGGAGGCCCGTATCTAGGTACACAGACGAGTCACAATAAAACTTCTAGGAGGGAAGGATAGGAAGAGGAAATTCGTTCTGGAGATAACTAGGGCGCCCAGGGTGGACTCTCGAGCGCTGGAGACTTGAAGAGGAACAGGAGGAACATTAAAGAGCGTATAGGATGTATAGGATGAAGGTATTGCTTAGAGTCGGATAGGAGGTGTCGAGCGAGGACGGGGCGCGGTGATTCCAAAAAGGGAAGATTCCCACGCCCAATTGGGCAGGTGGCGGGGCTTCGCTCGCGTGGCCGCGTCGGGCGTCGGGCGCGTCAGAGGCCGAGGGTGCGTCGCTCACGGAGATCTCGAGACTGGCTCGCTCGTGTGCTGTCGTATCTCGTGAAACAATTTGTTACGATCTGTCATCGCCATCACAATACTACCCTACGATATCGAGGACGCGACACTCACTTCGTGTAAAGCAGCGGGTGCATAGAGTAAGGTAGACCTCATGCGCGTCCAACCCCATAGCACGCGACACGCGTGACATTAGACGTAATAGGTGCAAAAATTCAAATAACTCTCAATTAGACTAGCTCTCACCGAAAGTGTTACCGGCATTTTATAGATGTCTCCTGTACATAGATAGGACCGTTGACAATTGCTGATGAGAGTGCGAACTGCGAAAGGAGAGAAGGTGTGCGAGAGTGTGAGGCATGACTGTGACACAGTGTGACCAATCATTGAGGCGCGCTGCCGCTGCAAGACAATTGGGTAACTGGAGGCATGGAAACTAGTAGACATCATACTGAGTACGGTAAGATGGATATGCTGCTGGCGACATACATTTTCTGTTCTCCTCCGTGCTGATAGCTCCAACGTGGCGGCGACAAGGTTGTGCGTACTGGCCGAGGTTACACTTGCGCAAACGGCCCTTCTTGTAGGGCATAACGTCGAGTCGTGATCCCCGACGTGCCACAGAGCTCAATGGATGCCAGATAGTCAATACAGTTTTGTGACGGCGGCGGAAAGGAGAAACCTCCAAGTTGCACGGCTTGGCACTGAGGGCAGTCCATCACATGCCTCGGTCTTGTTTTCATCTCTCCTCCCGAGGATCTTATTCTTGCGTTTCGAAAGCAGCAGTCAAACATCGGCACAGTACATTATCGTAGAACCCCAGTTGCATCTCGAACGAAAGCTACTCAGACCGGGAGACAATCAACTTTTCGCTCGTATTACGTCTAATGTCACGCGTGTCGCGTGCTATGGGGTCGGACGCGCATGAGGTCTACCTTAGTACTATTACTCTGCATCAGCAGGGTTCCAGAGGTCCACCGCAGCTTAGATTGTGCCCACATGGCAGTTATTGAGCTCCGCCACCCGGCATTGGGTCCGAACTCCGCGGTTTTGAGCGTGCCCCATTCGGTTACCGTAGAAAGCTGTTGACGCCACCCAGACTCCGATTTCGCTGACATGCCACGCCGCCTTCGTACGTAGAGCACACCCGATGCCCGATTCGACGCCCACTGCTTCGTTGACGGTCCGCCCTAGAACCATCGCTAGAAGTCTCTGTTCCAGCTGTCCTCTCCGCATTCGCCCAAGCAGGCCTCGCTCTACCAACCCCTGACACCGGCATCAGTCAAGCTGCAGGATTCGGTTCTGCATCAGCTGCCTCCACCTGTGCGAGGAATTTGTGAGCGAGGACGGCGAGGACAAGGAAGGGGGAGGTAGGATGTGGACAGCACAAACGGCGGCGGAGGTGGAACAGCTTTGACGACGGAACGAGGCCATCGCCATCGTCAAGATCTTCAGCAACGACCATGCATCCATCTCTCATATATCACTTATGACGATCGCAAACGTTGGCCTCCACCTACTTTACATCCTCCAGCCGTGCTCCGCAACCCCGTCTCTCGATCGCTACGTACTGTCATCAGCAGGCCACCCTGATCATCGCAACAAGCCCAACCCCTGACACCCTGACGCAGACAAGCGATAACTCAAATTCGGTTCCAGTCGGCCTCGTTATGTCGGTATCAGCTGCCCCCACCTCCAAGAGGAACTCAGAGGCGTGAACGCCGAGGCCAAGGCATGCGGAGTTGGGATGCGGCAGGAGGACAGCTTCGACGATGAAATAAGGCCCTCGCCTTCGACTGGATAGGGTGCTCAACATTCAACGTGTGCGACGGCCCCTCATGTCATCGACTCATCCCATGTGCTCATCTCATCTATGACCGCAAGAATTTGCTTCATTCCATCTAGCCAATCGCGAGCTATTTCCTCACTTCGCTCACAAAACCATGGCTCCTCCCATCGCATCACATCTGCCCAAAAAGTCGGCGTCAGTACCCGAGAGACCCACATCCAGTCATTGAGTCCGGCCTCTGTATTGAGAGCGGGAGTGCTTGCACGCAACGTAGCCACCGGTCCCGCCGCTCGCACCTATACCGAGCTTGCAAGCACGACCAACAGGGCCTGCCACTAACATACGTATGCGACCATACCTATCCCGCCGCCAACGCCAACGCAACCCGAGTGGGAGGAGTCTGCAGGGAAGCAGCGGGAGGTGACCGGTTTTAAGGGCGCGCCGGAGCCACAGATCACCACTGACATCCACATTGGTAGAGAACACTAATTGGGGGTTTGGCGTTGAGGTGTTACGTTGCCTCCTGAGTCCTCTCCGCCATGGACTGTCACGAATGCACCCGATTCGCACTACAGTATCAGAGGAGTATCTCACGCAGCAGATCCACAATTGCTCCAGCGTGCGTTTGAAGGTATGTTCAATGATGGCTTTCACTGATTCCTTCCGTATCTCGTTGTTCTGCGCTATCCGTCGGGGATGCATAGCCATCCGAATGGTGGGTCGAAGCCGTATGTACGTGATCGTTCGTTGCGTGTTACTATTTCATTTGTCGTACGATATATAAATAATGCCCCAATGAAACAATGTTGGACGTGCGGTCAGGGAGAGATCCGGAGAAAGGCCCGGCGCGCCGGCGTTTATCTCGACCTTGGCGTATAGCACTCAGGCCATGAATTGCCGTGAGCAAAGCGGCAGAGATCGAGCATCGTCGTACTCTCCTCTGGCAACAGGAGTCGGGAAGACGGTTGCCAGAGATTGGAGCGATTGCCATCAGGGACCCATAACAGACGCTCCTGGTGGGGACCCCTGATCCACCCATCCATGTCCAGGTAAAAAGCACGCTTCATCTGCAACTCGGTTAACCCTCGCGAGGAGCCAGAGAAGAGCAGGTGGGCGTTTGAAAGCCTATGTTCTTGCATAGACGAAAAGCAGATCGCGACGCCAGGGGCTGCACCTTTAGACGGTTCTACGCATTTCGTCTTGAGATGGCCGTAGATGTGTAAAAATCGAGTAGGATCACTCACCGGTCGCTTCCTCTGTGTCCCATATTCGGATCGAACAATCCAAGGAGCCCGAGGCAATGCAGCTTCCATCGGGTGACCATCGAACGGACCGAACAACGCCAACGTGTCCGCGTAGAGGTATGCCCATGAGCTTGCCTCGTTCCAAGTCCCATATGCGAATGGAGCCGTCGTCAGACCCGGAAATGATGCACCGACCGTCCGGAGAAAACGCGAGAGCGTTAACGGACCCCAGATGGCCTTCAAGAGGGTCTCCTATAGGCTCCCCTGTTTCTGCGTTCCATAAGCGCACCGTGGTGTCATCTGATCCGGACGCAACCAATGTTCCATCTGGAGAGAATGCAACAGACGTAACGCGGTCCAGGTGGCCGCGAAGAGGCATCCCCACAGCCTGTCTCGTTTTCAGGCTCCACACTCGGATTGTACGATCCGTAGAGCCCGAGATGATGTATTCGCCATCTGCTGAAACCGCAACGCAGAGAACTGGGCCTCGATGCCCTCGCAGAAGCAAAATGGTTCCCGTTTCCGCACTCCAGATACCGATGGTGCCATCGTCGGACCCCGATATGACGTGTACCCCATCAGGCGCAAACGCAACGGACCGGACGATGTCACTGTGCGCTCGCAACGGGCCCCTTATGGCGATCCTCTGTTCTGTGTCCCAGATCCTGATCATCTTGTCGAAGGAGCCGGAGGCAATGCGTTTGCCATCGGGAGAGAATGCGACGGCGGTGATATTCTGGTCGTCCCATGTCAGTTTCGCGATAGCCTTTCCTGTTCCGACATTCCATAGCCGAATTGATTGATCGTAGGAACCAGAAATGAGGCGGACCCCATCGGGGGAGAAATCGATAGAGGAGACCCCGCCACTGTGTCCTTCGATGGATTCTCTGACGCTCTCTCCGCTGTCTGCGTACCAAACTCGAACCGTCTTGTCTGCGGAGCCCGAAACGATGTACGTTCCATCCGGTGAGAATGCGACCGAAGCGACAGCCGTACTGCGGCAGCGGATGGGCTGCCCGATCAAGTCTTCGCTATCTGCGTCCCATATCCGGATGGTGTCGTCCAAGGAGCCCGAGACGATACGCTTCCCGTCGCTTGAAACTGATACGGAAAATACGGCATCGGTATGACCTCGGAATGGTCCCTGGATGGTCTGCCCTGTTCCCGCGTCCCATACCCTGACGGTGCAGTCGTCGGATGCCGAGGCGATACGCTTTCCGTCGGGAAAGAAAGCAACAGAGCGGATGGGGCCGCTGTGACCCACGAACGGGTCGAAGAGAAGTTCTCCCGACGCTATGTCCCATACGTTGACAGTGTTGTCCTCCGAGCCAGCGACAAGACGTGCCCCATCCGGCGAAAAGGCGACGGCGTTGACGGCGTTTCCATCCTCCATAGGCTGACCGATAGCTTCCCCGGTCATCGCGTCCCACACCCGGATAGTCCCATCGTTGCCCCCGGAGACGATGTAGTTATCATCGGGTGAGAACGCGACGGAGTTGACTTTACGACCGTGGCCTGTGAGGGGACCTCCAAGGGCCTCCCCGCTCTCTGCGTCCCAGAGCCTGATAGTTTCATCGTCGGAACACGAGAGAATCCTTCTGCCATCGAAAGAGAACATCACAGAATTGACGTCGGCGGTGTGGCCCTCTAGAGGTTTTCCGACGGCCTCTCCTGTCGCTGCATCCCACACTCGGATGAGGTGGTCGTATGACGCGGACACAATCCGCTTTCCATCTCTGGAGAATGCAACGGACACGACGAGTTCACTGTGGCCGCGCATGACAGACCGCAGCGCCGGCCAATGTGTCGCCCTTCCTCTGAAGACCTTCGCAGATTGCGAAAAACGCTCCGCGTAGTATTGAGCTATCAAGGATGTTGTCGGGCTAAAAGGAAGGGCGGACACGTAGATATGAGGCGCCGAGCTTGATATCACAGCTCCATAGAGGTGTATGAACCGATCCATATCGTCGACCCAGCGTAGAAGCCTACTAGCTTTGGCATTTGCCTATATCCTGATTGTCAGATAATGTCCCTCGATGACAGAAGAACACGCACCGAGGCAAATCGCTTCAATGCTGATAAGGTAGAAGCGCAAGAGAGCAGAGATCTGAGCAGGCTCAGGGACTCCAGCCACGACAAAGCGTGGTTCGCAAAGAAATTTTCGATGTTCCATAGCAGATTGGGGTCGGAGGCTGCGCGCTCCTGCCCAACGTGTTGCGCCCAATAACGAATAGAGTAAATGAGACCGGGCGTCATGTAAGTTCGGATACGTTGGTCGAGATCATCGTACTCCGTATTCAGCTTGTACGAGCTCTCGAGGTGGCATATATTGAATCTAAGGGAGCTCTTCATGATGCGGAGGGTCGAGTGTACCAATTTGTCGTCCGCATCGTCAAGATCCACGCAATAGGGACCGCTTCGAGTGCCGTCGGTCAAGAACTCACGGAAAGAGCCATGCAATGGACGGATGGGGGTTTCTGCTTGCGAAACGCCGTATAACAGAGACCCCATGAGACTGAGGAGGTTCTTCGTCCATTCGGGCCCTTCGTCTTCGCCATGAAGTCCTTTCAACGCTTCGATTGATAGTGGCTCGCGGACTGCCAACACTCGTCCTAATATTCGCTTGAAACGGATAGAAGGACCACTCTTGAAGAGCCGGCTGAGGACGAGGTGGTACAGGGAATCAAGGTTATGATATTGAACGTCTGACTGCTGTGATGCGGATACAGAACCGACGACGGCCTCGAAGCGTTCATGCCAGTCGTATTCCTGGTAATCACCCTCACCCCGAATGAAGGCGCAAGCCGTCGATGCCCACTGGAACGATTTCTCGGCGGCTCCGACCAGTGTGTCCACTACCCTGCTGCTTACCCAACGCGGATCTTCCGTGATCATAGAATACGTGGATAGGCTTTCGTTCACGAATAGGCCGATGTCCGCGTCCGCGGTGTCGTATTCAGGATCGGCGATGTCCTGAGAGCGTACGCAAGGCAGCTTCGATAGGACGTCCATCATGTCCCGATCCGAACGCGAAGTGAAGAGGAAGCGGAAGTTCGAGGGCAATTCGGCAAAACGCGAGATGTACTTGAGCAGCTGCGCGCGCTGGGATATGCCTCCGCATTCGTCTAACGCATCGATGATCACCACGATGGGTCCCACGGCCCGTTCCTCCAAACCCTTGGCCGGCTCGAGCAGGAAATTCTCGAATTGGAGCTGCAAGGAGTACGTCGTGTTGAGATCGTGTTCGTGGTCGCGTTGAATGGTCTCGCAGAGGGTCTTCCTCCAGTCAGGATCGAGATCCGCCAATCCGACCGCGATCGTCGGGAACATTTGCTCCAATTTCCGATCTCGCGCCGACGTGCTGAAGCAAAAGATACGCCCCAGTCGTCCATCCGCCCGGCAACGTTCGGCCACGGCATGTGAGATCGCCGATTTCCCGGATCCTGCAGGTCCGTGAAGCCAAAAAACGGGTTTGGTGTCCTCTTCATCTACCGAATAGACCCACTTCATGATCAGGTCGATCAGCGGCGTACGAGTGCCTGGCAAGCACCCCTTCTCGGGTTGGAACCCTGATCCCGGGGCGACGAGCAGGCTGCTCAACGTGAGGCTCTGATCTAGGCGAAGTCAATGGGAGGTCCTTCAGCACCCTTGAAAGTACTCTCACCGAAGCGCCCTACGCTCTCCATAACCCTCAGCGTAACGATATTCGTCACCACGACTGTGTGGTCGTTGAATCGTTGGATAAGCTTAGCGAACGACTCCTTGTATTTTGCGACATCATCGGCGATATTACGTCCCAGGTTCTGAATGAGCCGTTTTGCTGTCAAATGCTCGTGTCATTTGTGTCCAGTGCAGTGTGGAATGCCAGCTCACCGAAGCGCTCGGTACGTGCGTATTTGGAGATAAAATGTGCACACTCCCTGACTTGTCTCGCGATGAGCTGTGCAGTATCGCGGCGATTGCCGTCCTGTCGGAGAGGCTCGGCCTCCTGCATCAGGTTCAATGCCCCGCTCATCGTATCCACCAGATCACGCAGGGCGTCATCCTTCTGAGTCTGCGAGACGATAGCCTGCAAATAGGAGGTGTCAACTAAGACATCTCCAGCAGAACGGAGCCCCCTACCTTCGGGATGGCCGCTATCACGCTGAAAGCCAATTGCGCATACGGATGGATCTATTCGAGTAGCTCGCGTCAAGACGACTGGTGGCAGTTAAAAGGTACGCCAACCAAGTACCTGGGAAATGCCGTCGGTGATCTCAACGAAAATTTGGAGCTTGCCCAATAGGAAATCCCAACTGTCGCACGCATCGCTGATCGAGCTGACTATGTTCTCGGCGCCCTCGACCGCGCTGACGACGATCTCAGCAGGACCCCATGCAGGACGCATGGCGTCCGTTACGACCGTGGCCGCTGCCACATGGTTGCTGAGTTCGCTGCGGAGTGTAAGCACGAAAATCGCTGTTTGACGGATAGTGATGTTCACCTCTTTTCCGCGAATGGGTCGTACAACCGAGGAGCAGAAGAGGACGACAGGCCCGGGGATGCTGTAGGACTCGTCGCCAGGGAATATTTTTGGGACGCGCCGACCGGACGGGTGACGGTGAAGGATATGCAAGCATCTGCTTGTCGCTTGTCGCGGTCTTTCATGAGCAAGGATTCACTATCGATACCTGGCGAATATCAGTGCTTGAAGACGGGGCTACGGCAGTGACGGCACAACTCACCCCTTGGCCCGCTGTCCGGTTGATCAATCGTGATATCTCCTACTAGGATGTCACGACGAGATATAAGCCCTGCGATCGCTTCCTGTTGCATCCATACATGGACGGTGATCGGCGACACGCCATCACTGGGTCTGTAGGTGGAGGTCAGCATCCAATCAGGCACGTCCGGGCAGGGGGAGTTAACACGTACACGAGGAATGCCGAGTCCCATGAGGGTTCTCTGGTTTTGGTGGAGAGCGGTGTTTCGAAAATGTCCTCGCCTGCTTCTATGGTGCAGTAGAAGCGACGATTGCGCAGGCCCATGCAGCGTAGGCCTATCCGATTCCGATGGTCACAACCTCCTCAACATAGGTCAAAAGCTCACTGAACGCACCGGTCAACTCTATGCTCTGCATCTCACTGAGACGCAGCGACGCGCCGTGAAGGGCCGTGAAGTGGTATGAGGGCGAGGGTGCATGAACAGAATCACGTTGACTACCGGCTAGAGGGTTTTCTATATACATATCATGGTTAGAACTCGGCCGCCCTGCCGTGATGAGAGTGGTTGCGTACACCCGGCTCCGGCTAAATCTATCGTCAAACCAGCACTTGAATGGTCCTGCTAGGACACAATCATGAAAAGCGTCAAGGAATGCTCGCAGGCCGACCATCCAGTACGAAAAGTAAAGACGCTGGGGTTCGAAGGCGATCGTGAGGGTAAAAGTGCCGATCAGGCTTCGCGTTCTGCGACGCGACCTGGCCAATCGAGCCACCCTCTCCAGCACATCCAATAGTCAGCTCTCAATCGTATGCATCGAAAAGCGAGCCAAGTATGGATGTCGGCGTTATCCTCTGCAGCTTACTTCAAGACATAGCAACTGCGAGCACAATCATGGCAGAAAGCTTGGTTTTCTTTGGATCGGTAATACATGTTCGAGAGCATAACAACTTCAGCACGACTCGTGTGGAAGGACAGCATATGGACTATATGAGGCAGCAAGCGACGAAGCGCAAGAAAGTAGGCGAACACAGCAACGTAAAGCAGCAGAGCAGAACACATTCTTGTCCATATATAAGCGAGTATGCGAGATAGCGAAGGAAGGGGGGAGGTTACGTCGTTGTTACCGAGCGCACCCCGATAGATAAATATCGATATGCGTGCATAAATGCGTAGGTGCGGCGTGTGCGTGCTGAGAGATGCTACATTGTCGAGGTGGGTTGCAAGTATCGATCGATTATAGCGTGTATGATGCGGTTGTTTGGTAGGGAGGGGGGGTATATCACGCGGGCACCGGGATGGCCGACATCCTTCTCGCAGCCTTCGGGTTGTTCTCCTTGCCGCTGCCACTCTGCTCGCTTTCGCTCTGGTTCGGCGCGCCGCGGTTCTTGATCGGCGTCCTCGTCGATGCGTCAACCGACACGCGCCTGCTCATGCTCGCCGTCAAAGAACGGGGCAAGGCCGAGGGCGGGGAGCGAGCGCCGGAGAGACGACTCGCGGTCGTGGAGACCGATACCGGAGACCGGACGCGAGACGCGGGTGTTGCCGTTGTGCCAGACACGGAAGATCGTGGCTTGATGACGATGGATGAAGGCGGACCCATGGCTCCGGCAATTTTCGCTTTTGTTGCGGTGCTCGAACCGCTCGAGCCCACGGAACCGACCGAATCGGTGGCCATATGATTCGGGCGAGAGGTTTTGCTGAGCGCCTTCGCTGTCGTGTTCGCCTCAGACATGGCTGACGAAGGCCGAGACGAGCTGGGTGTGTCGGCGGCGACGACGGAAGACCGACGCGAGGCCGGCGTAGCTAGCACCGACTCCCGACGCGTCGTCTTGGAGAGCGTAGGCGTACCTGCCGTCGCAGCGCGAACGGCAAGTTTCCGTTTGACCTGCGACAAGGAACTGATATTAGTCTTACACCTGAACACGCAGGCAGGACAACTGACAAGTTCCAACTCCTGCTGCTTAGAATCTAGAGCAACGTTCAGGCCTTCGTTGTCCTCTTCCATAGCGGCGAGTTGCTTCTTCATGTGCACCATCTTCAGGTCCTTGTCCGAACCCTCCATCTTCAGCTCGTGCACCTGCCTCCGCAGTTTGTTCGCCTCATCGTCGAGGGCCTTGACCCGCTCCTCGAGGGCACGGAGCTGCACCTCCGCCTCCGCCTTCTCCTTGAGCAGGTTTTCCACCTGCGAGACGCGTTCGTCCGAGCGCTTGTCACCCTCCTCGAGCGTTCGGCGATGCTCATCCGCGAGGCGGCCGTGCTCGCGCTTGACGGTGGACAGCTGCTCGCGGAGGTTCTCGGCTTCGTCTTCACATGAGACGACGCGATGGGCCAGATTCTCGATCTCAGCGTCACGCTCCTTGACGAGTTCTTCTGTGCGGGTAGCCTTGTCAAGGGCGTACTTCCGTTCCTGTTCTAGCTCTGAAATGCGTGCATCGCGTTCTTGAACGGCGGACTCCAGCTGATCAGCGTGAGCACGTTCCTGTCGGATCTCCTCCTCGAGCTGAGTATGCGGTCAGCCAATGGACTTTGAACGACAATGCGAGGCAGATACTAACCTGTTCCCTTTCGTGCTCCAAGTCTTCCTTGGCAGCGAGGACGTCCTGTACCTCGGCCTCGAGCTCCATCTTCCTGTTCTCGCTCGTCTGCCACTCCACCTCCATCCCCTCCATCCTCCGTTGACACTCCTCCAATTCCGCCCGAGCCGCATCCCTCTCCCTCGTCACGCGGTCCATCCTTTCGCTAGCCTCCTCCGTACCCTTCCACTGCGCCTCAAGCTCGGCCTTGAGCACGTCATACTCCTGATCGCGCTTCGCCAGCCGTTCCTCCAGCTCTTCAATCTGGCCCCGCGCGCTGTCCAAGGACTGCGACGTGTCCCGCTTCTCCGCCTGCAACAGCTCCAGAGCAGCACGCTCGTGCTCGCGCACCACCATAGAATTGTCGCCCTCGCCTGCTGCGAGCTGCTCCATCATCTCCATCTGCTCCTTCGCCTCACGGATGCCCCTCCTCAACTCTTCCTCACCTTCCTCTCTCCTCTTCAGTTCGGCTCTCAGCGTCTTCAGCTCGTTCTCCGCCTCCTCGCCCCTACTTCTCGCCTCATGCAGCTCGCGCAGCACGGACTGCTCTCTCCCCTCCCACTCCCTCCTCTCCGCCTCCATCCTCCCCATGCGGCGATGCAGCTCCCGCATAGCCTCTCCGCTCGCCTCATCCATGACACTCCTCTCAAAGCTTTCCTGTCGACTTCTATCCACCTGCTCCTCCAGCCCCCTGCACGCCCTCTCGAGCTCCCCAACGCGCTTCTTCCACGCCCTCAGCTGCGCCCGGCGCTTCTCCACCTCCGCCTCCACACGTTCGCACTTGCCCGCGAGCCCGTTCACGAGCTCGTCCCTTGCCCCTAGATCGATCTCGAACTGCTTGCACATCTCCTCCCGGAGCGCAAGCTGCGTGCGCAACGACACGATGAGGTCTTCCTCCGCCGACGCCGTCCCGCCGCGTACCGCGCGCGCGACCGCCTTCGCCTTCTTCTCCGGCGGCGTCGCGGGTGTATAATACGCGGTCGCGTGCGTGCTGAACGGGTCGGGTTCGCCGCCCTCACCCTCTTGCGGCGACTGCGCCCGAGACGCGAACACGCCTTGCGCAAGCGCGTCCGACGACAGGTCGTTGATGTCCGCCTCCGGGGTCCCGTTCCCGGGGAGGAACGACACCGGGCGCGAGCCCTCCTCCTCGACGTCGCCAAGACCTGCTCGGGACGGGTCGACCTCGTACCCCATGAGCACGCGCGACTCGAATCCGCCGGGAAGCACCTGTCGCGAACTCCTCTTAGCGTTCGGGCTGGGCGTGCTGTCGCCACCGCCCCCACGTAGCATAGAATGAAACACGGTATCGCTGAACGCGCGATTCCTGTAGCTGCCTGCAGAATCTCCGCGTTGAAGGCTCGACTTGCCCGACGCTGGCGACGCGCGAATGTCGTACTTGCTCGGGATGACCTGCCCGTACCCGGAGCCGGACGAGGACGAGCTGACGGAGAACTTGCCCGCGGACGCCGTCGACACCTCAGACACGCGCTTGTGATGAGCGATGAAACGGCCGTCCTTAAAGACACCAATGCCGGGGCTCTGTTGGACAGCGTTGGTCGGAGAGGTGGTAGGGTTGGCGGAGAGTACTCCGCTTGAGCTGAGCGGGGACGGGTTGTTGGACAGCGGCGCTGAATGCGGGCCTGATGACACAGAACCGGAAGGGGAATGGAATACCGTCTGGCCGAGCAAGCTCCCGAACGATGCGCTGCGCGAGTGCTTCGCTGGCAGCGGAGGGGGGACGTCGAAGTAGCCGCCCTCGTTCGTGAGGTTGCCTTTCGCGATGCCCATCTCGACATTGGAGTCGAACGACATATTGCTGGCGTTGCTATCCAGGGACGCATCGACGTACGACCTTCCGCTGTCTAGCGAAGCATTCCCGACTCGAACGGCAGGCCCATCGTTATCCTCATGAATTTCAATAGCGCCGTCCATCAGACCCTCCGAGCTGATGGGGATGGGCGGGAGCTGTTCCCGCATACTGAGGTCGAATATGTTGGAGACATCTGGCGGTGGCATGAGACCCATAGACATCCCGGTTGCGTCAGGTTTGAACTGGGATCTGGAAGCGTGATTATCCGCATACGGCGTAGGCGGTGCGGTGCTGGTCGCTGGGACGTTGAATTTGAGGGTATCCTGGGCGGATGGGGAGCTTGAAGGGGAGAAGACGTCCAGAACGGACGCCCTCGGAGGTGAGCGGTTCTTGAACGATGCAGCGGCTTGTAGTTTGTTGATAAATGCGTTCTCTTCTTCGGCGACGACGGCCTCCTTGCTCTGTGCATGAACTCAATCAGGTTCGCGTTACATGATTATGTACGCATACACTCACACTTTGCTCCGCCTCGCTCGCAGTAACATCTGGGCTGATCACCTTATACGCATCCCTGGAGAAGAACCGCACGCTCCGGCCTGTGCCGGGAGTATTGCGATCCTTCAAGATCGACCGAAGCGAGCCCTTGTGGTCCAATACATGCTCGCTTACAGCGGACACAGGCGTCCCGGGATTCCGAACGTCGGCGCTTGAAGTGCTGTCGACCGAGGGTCGTGTAGGACGCGGATTAGCACCATTTGAGGTTGTGTTTGTGTCCGGGCGCGGCTGCGTGAATTGCCGTAGGTTGTCGAACGATCTCCGCAGAGAGCTTTGTGGGCGCGGCGATTCTGCCGACGGTTTGTCCAGCGATACCTGTGATACTGGAAACGAACAGGATCAGCGTTCGGCTCCGGTGGCAGTACGATAGAGGGCGTGAGAACGGCGTACAGTTGGTTTTGATCGCGAGCGTCTGCGCTTTCTGAGCAGCACCCTTCTTGGGGAGCAGCGGGAGCTTGAACGGGGAAGCAGGTCGAGCATGTTCGCCCTCGTTGTCGCCTTGAAACGGATGTTGCTGATGTTGCGGGTTCCGTTTGAACATGTTCCGTATGCCGGATTGGGTCTTGGACGGGGAAGGTGGCGGCGAGGGTGTCGGAAACGGCACATCCGTTGAATCATTCGAGTGGAAGACGGAAAGGTTGGGATGTTGCTGGTAGACCTTCGACATGACGTCTGCGCGGCCGAGTGTTTGGGCTTCGTTGTAGGGGTGGCTCGAGGTAGACGCGGATGACAGTGTAGCTTGGGAGAGCGTAGGTGACATTGCACCCTGTCTTGCGCGCTCGTTCAGTAGTTCGAGTGACGCTCGGCTCTGGAGGGCGTTGAGGGTGTTGACGACGGCAGCGCCTTTCGGTTGGCGCTGTGCCGGTAGGTGGGGCTGGTCAGCATCGGAGTCGGACGAGGCGACGCCGGAGCGCGACTTGACGGCGCTGGTGAGTTTGGACCACATCCTGTGGCAGGGGATGTCCCGGAGGACGGCGACGACGGCGAGCGCGAGGGTGCGGGTGTTGGGGGAGGAAGCGAAACGTCGGGCGTTGAACTTTGTCACGCGTCACACCAACCGACGCGAGGGTGTCGCGTCTCGGTCACCTGACCGCTCGCCTTCCGTTCCGGGCAGTCCTTCCCCGCGTTTTGCCCCTGAGTGACGAGCCTAATCTGGCTCGGACGCCATCCTCCCCTTGTTTTGGACAGAACATGGCCCGCTTCATCGCGGATAATGTTACCATACGATATTATTTGTCAAGTTATTTCTCAGGTGAGTTCTACACTAGTTTTGTATCCTGAGCCGATGTTGATAATCATGCGATCTCGCGACATCAGCTACATGAACTGCACCCGCTCGGTGTTCATTCAACGATCCAAGTCAATCGGGACTGGGCCACCGCCTCCCGCCCTTTCGTATTCTGCGAGGCATCCTTCGTGGCATATTCTGCAATTGATTTACGAATATGCGAAGACCGTCTCTCGTTCCTGATCGAGACGCCACATGCGATCCGGCACGTCAAAGAAATCAAAGTGCATACCAAGCAACTGCCATCTCCCGGGTTGCGCAACAGAGACTTTATCCGCTACGAAGAGTCTTTTGATGCGTTTTTTTCTCGCCTTGCTGAAGTCCTGTGTGGCGAGTTGGTCGGTAACCATCTCCAGCACTTCAAGTATGCCCCCATTACGCTGCTCTCCTGCCGCATTATCTGATCGCCTCACTCCTATCCAGATGGACTGGAGGCATAGGCATCCCTGATGCCATTTTGCGCTCTCTGGAAGCGCACCATCCCCTCTGCCAGCTGAACATCGCCGATTACGACGGATACGCCCTGCCTGTTCTCTACAATCTCTCACACCTGCGCGCGACCGTCCTTACCCTCGACCGTCCCCTCCATCGCTTCGGCCACATCATCTCCTGCTCCCCACACCTCAATTCTCTTGACCTCACTCTCCATGCCCAAGATTCGCACGTTCAGCGCATCCCCAACCCACCGCCTCTCCTCCAAGACACGACTTGCACTTCCGCGCCCTCTCAAACCCTCTCATTTCTCCACCTTCGTGGTTTTTACTACGCCGCCGACTGTGCACCCGAGACCGTCGCATTCCTCTCCCAATGGCCTAACCTCCGCACTCTACACCTCACCCTCCGCCTGAAAGACGATTCCTCCTACCTCCTACACGCCCTTGCCGACTCCGGCCCCTCGCTTCCCCCGCTTCGCGCCCTCGCCATACACATCGAATACATCCCGGACCTCCAATCTGCCCCTCCGGCAACTCTCGTCGCGCTCCTGCGCGCGCTCCCTGCCGCCCTGCGCCGGCTGCAATTCACCATCTCCGACCCCTACGCTCCGGAACTCCTCGAGGCCATCGGCACGTACCACGGTCCCTCGCTCGAGTATCTCGAGTTATTCGTCCGCGCCACACTCAGCACCCCATTAGTGGATCAAGCCCACCTCGACGCGCTGCTCGCGCAGTGCCCGCACCTGACGCACCTCGGCCTCGTCAGTGACAACGACCTGCGCTACTGCACCGGCGTCGGCCAAGCTACGGGTGGTCTGCGGAGTATATCCTCACTGCATCTTCGCCCCGGTGGCTGGGTCCCTCGGTAAGCGCAACGCATTACCAATGACCAGGAAGCCCGACTCACGGACGCCTTCGTCGACCCGCAGCTTCAGTGGTCATTTTCCCGGGCACTCGATATTCGGGAGCCGCAAGAATGCCAAAGGCGTGGGGGCAATCCATTTGGTCTCGTATCTTCGCCGTCTCGACGTCGAGTATGCGGGTCTAAGAGGCTACGTAGGTCAGTCGTGATCCCAACCTCCAAACTTCTTGTTCCCATCGACATTCGTTCACCCGTTATCATAGATACCTCGCATATCGTGGTCGGAGACGAGCTTGCGGACGACCGCCACCTCTCTGGCGCCCGACGCATCCTCCTCGAGCGTGTCTTCGGCCGCATCCAAGCGACCGTTACGGGCGAATGGGGCATGCGTAAGGATGTCAGAAGTCGGGCGCTGTCAAGCTGGGACGTCGATCCTGACGGGGACTGGAAGTTGATAACGAGGTGGATCGAGCGAGATCCTTAGGGAGTACCGTCCGTCGGTATTGCGCGTTAACGCAATCGCTAAACGTTAACGACGCGTTCTTGCCGTATGTGACAGATGAATAGGTATAATTCACCGCAACGTGCAGGTAGTGTTTCGGATTTTTTCATCAATATGTGCATGTCCTCTGTCATACTAGAGGCCAAGCTTCCATGCAATCAAAAAAGGACTTTGCCGATGCACCTGGGTTCAATCAGTTTCGACCGGTGTGACCATTGCTGCGCAGTAAGTTCTACTCGTTTCAGGGCGCAATCTCTGAATCTAAATCCATAGTCTTCTTCATATGTACATTGCTTTCATACATGTGGCTACGATTTCCGTGTCGTTGAGCGAAGGATAAGTTAAGTATTCCGTTGGCAAGACTCGCGGGACCTGTTGAAACTGAATGAGCCCTATCTTATCAGAGCGCAGTATCTCCCACAGTCAATACCTGATTTGGTGACTTGGATGTGCTTGCGTTTGATAGCGCGGAGAACATCGAAAAAACGCACTCTGATAAACTGCCCAGCGCCCGCTAGCGTCACGCCCACGTGTGTATTTCCACGCCTTAACGCCGAGCACTAACCATATCCGAGATGGACGTAACTTAGGAAGGGTGGTTGTACTCGTGCGACGACACCGGCATGTTGCCATACGATGTCGTCTACCAAGTCATAGACCAGGTGCGCGTCCGATGCCTGGCAATCCCGACTTCTTGCGTTCATGCATTTGCGACAGCTCCATGACATACATCCCGGGGACGTTCTCTCAACCGTGCTGGTCAACCGGGACTTCGCGGACGCCTCCCGTCCTTTTCTTTTCCGTCGCATGGTGTTAGTTTTAACCTGCCAGGATTCCAAGAAAGGCTTCAAAAAGCAGCTCAAGTTCTTCAGGAAGGCTTCGCACCTTCACCGCCACGTGAAGGAGATACAGGTTAAGACGAGGCTTCTTGTCGTGCCAGGCGTGCGCGACAAGCACTGGACATCCTTTGAAGCGCGGTTTGGCTCGAGTTTGGAGAAGCTTGTGGTCGCTCTGGCTCGTGAACTCGGCAGCCTACCACTGAAAGAATTCATGTACGTTGCCCATTAACATCTCAAGGGTGGATTACTCATCGCGCACACAGTTGGTCGGGGGACATGACTATACCACCCAGATTGCTCGCCACGCTAGAATCCGGATTTCCCGAATGCGAGCTCTCTCTCCATCACTACGACGGCTATGCGCTGCCCAGCTCCAGCAATCTTTCTCGTGTGTCCTCCGTGATTTGGACTACAGATCATCCTCTCGAGCGCTTCGCGCACATTATCAAGCGATCCCCAAAGCTTAAATCCTTAGAACTCACCCTCGATCCTCGTCAAGGACGCACTCGGTATAATCCCACCCCGGCCCCCTTCTTACAAGACACATCTTGTATCTCGATACCGTGCCCTACGCTTAACTCGCTCAGGCTGAACGGTTTTCATTATACTCCCAGCAGCGCTAAGCAATTCGTGACGTGTCTCCGTCAATGGACCCAGCTCCGCGCCCTTTACCTCGACGTCTGGGATAGTGACGGCTCTGAACACCTTCTGCACGCCCTCGCAGCCGCGGGAGAAGCACTCCCCGCACTGAATACCTTCCAGCTGAGGATTCAGACGAGTCGGGAGTACTCAACAGATCCACCTGCGCACGTCGTGGACGTCTTGGCTGCCCTCCCACGCACGCTGCAGAGCATTGAACTCTTTGTTCCCTGCCCGGACGAGCTTCTAGACACCATCATGGATCGACACGGTCCCAAACTCGTTTCGCTCACTATGCACCATCGATCGTCAGATTTCGATTATTCCTCGATCCTTCACTGGAGCCGTGTCAGGGCATTGATTAGAACCTGCCCTTCGCTCAGGCATCTTGGGCTCGAAGCGAACGCACATCTAAGCTTTTTCACGGGCACGGTGTCGGTGAGTCTAGTTTCACACCGGCGAATGTACTTTCTGATGTTTCTCAAAGTATCCCACACCCGAAGAGATAACTTCATGTCTCCGCGGGATTCCTTCTCTGCGTTTGCATATCAGTCATGTCGTCGGCTCGTAGGCATACTTTCCCGTTCACTGCCGAGCTTGCCGATTAATTGGGGACCATAGACGATGCAAGCCGCTCATTCCTTTATTCTTCAGAGCCAGCACAACTGGGGCTGCACATCCTCCAGGTTTGCAGGAACTCTACATTGGAAGGGAACACATGGACATTGCGCAAGTCAGGTCCAGACGCCATTATCTAGGTGAGTGCAAGCTCATCAGATGATGGACAAACGCTGACTCTTCGGCTTGCGTTGCAGATCTAGGGCCCGAACGTGCGATCACGAGTGAGGATACCCTCGTCGACGACGCGGCGAACATTCATGTTGTAAGAATCTGCGGGCAGAACCAGGCGTACCTGCAGGCCCGGGTTCATGGCGAGTGGCTGAAGCGCAGTGGTCATACCGAGGAGAGAACGGTGTCCGTCTGGAACATCGACTTCAGCGACAATTGGCGCATGGCCGAAAAATGGACCGAATCACTTTAAGAGGAAGAGCGTATGACCGTATCCGGATATGGATGCGCTATTTCGACTCTGTACATTAACATGTTCTGCATCAAAAATTTCGAGGCCGTGGTAGAAGACGACGGCGACGCCATGCCCTCGGCTTTGCAGGAGCTGCACCTCGACCTGACCGGCCTCGGGACCATTTGAGTACACCACAATGCTTCTTCTCGTGTACCCAGCCTGATGTTGTAAACCCGCAATGGTGTCCTCTCAAACAGATGGCCGCACGAAGCGCATTTCAGACAGCGAGGGCTGCGATAGTGATATGATTGGTAGTGCCAGGTTCATAGACATCAAGCGTATACGCGACCCTCGAGAGCTTTACCTACAAGCTCGTACCATTGGCCACCGGCGGGATGGCGGTATAAGGACGGCTTAAGTTGATCGTATTTCGGTCTGGTACCGGGTCAGCCGGCGGACCGAGGAAACGCCGTACTGTATCCCTTGTAGTGAGCATGAAGGAATATGTGCAGCGAAGTAATTGGTGTGCGTGACCTCTCGTTCTTGTATTGCTTATCATTGTCTACGGTCTGTCAACGGTGCGGACGTAGACTTATCTTGAGAATAGCAGCCAGGAGTAAGACTGCGTTGATTGATCGTGAAGATGGGTCTATTGATGCGAAGGAAGTCTGTGTGTACAAGCACAGAAATACTCATCTAGAAGTCGATGGGTCTATATGCAAGTGTAACTTCGACTGAACCCGGTACACCGTCCAAGTTCCAAACAGCGAAACTGCGATCATAAAACCGACCGCTAATGTGTACCCGGGAAGAATCGGCAGCTTCTCTACCGACAAGGAGAACAGCGAACTTGAAGAAGGCACGGGTCAACCACCAGACACTGCGCAACTACGACGCGAATTAGACGTACCTGACGATCAGAGGGCTGAGCGCCATCGCCAAGCTCTGCGAGACCTCCGCGAGCCCGTTTGCGGCGCCCAACGACGCCGCGCTCGGCGCGCTCTCACGAACGAGTATCATGCTGACCCTGAACGAGGAAACCCGCCTCAGCCTTCATCTCAAGGTCAACAATCAGGGCAATACGTACGAGAAAGCGAGACAGGCGATTTGGGACATCGCAGCGACGACGACGACGCTGGCCCATAACAATCGACCGCCAGGATCGACACGTTGACCGATGGCGCTCAAGACGGGGAAGAGCGCGAAGGTGACCGGCCAAGCTCCCATCAGCACGAGGTAGAGGTCCAGGATCTTGTATCGCTGGAGTAGGCGCGGCATGATGAGCGACTTGAGCACGACGGCAATGGAGCCGGAGATCGCAAGCGCCGTGGCGATATCGGATGGCTGTCGTGACACAAGCTTGAAAAACAAAACAGAAGGGTGCAGGAGGAAATACACACAAGGAAGCCGAGCCCGCCATACTCGTGAGGGGAATACGCGAAGAGCACGAAGAGCGCGTTGTAAGCGGCGGTGATGAAGGCTAGAGCCGTTCCTGCGACCAGCACCGAGCGGAGGGGGTCTTGAGCTAGGAGCTCGCGCGTCCCTGGCGGGTCACTCGGAACTTCGGTAGGATCGTCCTCGGCTATCGTGGCTCCAACGAATCCTATACGGGTCGTGAAATCGGCGCGTCGTTTGCCAGGGAGCGTCTAGAACAGAATAGAAAAGGCATGAGGAAAATGCGATCTTGACATCGTGGGAAGCATGGATCACGTACCTCCTCCAGTGATAAACTGCTCGCGAAGACAGCGAGCAGGGCTAGTACGGCAGTGGCGAAGCCCGGAAGAGCGTATGGATACATGCGCCAGAACGTAGACGAGAATGACGCCCATCGTTCTGCAGGATTCTCGAGCTGGCCACCTATCATTGGGCTGGAGGGACCGATAACGACGTCAAATCCGTGTTCATGCGTGGCTGTGACTAGGACGGAGACGTTTACTCACCCAATTATATATCCCAAGGACGAGCACAGATCGTACAGTGGAAACGCTACAGATTGGTTCGTCTCGTCGGTCAATTCGCCGACGACGGAATGCATGGTGGCCACCGTCCCCGCAAATAATCCTGCTTCAAAAACCGTATGAGCATCGCGCGAGGAGTATAGGGAGGACGCGATGCACATATTACACGCGCGAGCAGGACGCCCAGCAGAGTGCGAGAGAGGCCGAACATGAGAGCTGCTGCGCCCAAACCGAATGCGCCGCCTAATACAACAGGTTTGCGACCCGATGTATCTGCAACGAACAGAGGTTTAGCCCCGTTGTCGAAGGTCATTCTGGCTGAACATGCCCGATAGTCTACCCCATGGATAAGTGCTGATGATTTGGACGATCGGAGCTGTACTCTCCTTCAGAGATCGTGAGCTCAACGACGCATATAGTCAGACGGCCACTAACGATCAGACCGCTATAAAAACCGACCCGTCTTGGGTTGTCGGTGAACCCGAAACGCAGAACGAGATGATTGACGTAGGGCAGGAACTGAGTCGCAGCGACGGGGACCACGAGTTTCGCAAGGTACAAGGAAGCTAGTTGCGCCTTTGGCAAGGGCGTCCGACGATTCCCGTGGCCGGCTCCGGGAAGCAAAGCCGTCGACTCCGTCGGGACGGCGTCGACACCGGCCTCTACGTCGCGTGTCTCAACCAGGGCCATCGCAGAATAATATGCCAATGTTCATGCGAGCCCGACGGTGTGTAGCGCCGGATGTTGGTGGTCGTCGTCCAGAACGTGATTGTGCCGCGGCCGTTCTGCGGCTTTCTCAACGACCCGCTCCGGCCCTAGCTGATGATGGCGTTGATGTCCATTCAACTCTCGCCGTTTCTCCCGCTCTTAAAAGCTCTGTATGGACGATATGGACTCTGTAAGAGAAACGCACGTTTGCGCGAAGATGGTGTATGATATCGCGCGACCGGCAATCGCCACGGGTATCATTGGTGCAGTCCAGTGACCTTGGAGGATCGCGTTTAATCTGAATCACGGAGTCGTCAACGGGGGCGCTACCGCACCTGATTTGATTCTGGCCTTTATAACGACCTAACCTTGACCTCGACGTTCACCGCAGCATCCAGCACCGAGCACCGAGCACCTTCAACCCGTTCTCCACCACTAACAACAATGCCCAAAGCCGTCGTCCTTGGTGCCGCAGGTAAAGGGGCAGAATCGCAGATCGTCGGAGAGGGGTGCTCAATTGGATCATCCTCGTCTTCCAGGTGGTATCGGCCAGCCTCTCGCTCTCCTGCTGAAGGCCAACCCGCTGGTGACCGAGGTGCGTTTATATCGCCCCCACCTACCCAATCCCGTCCCGAGATTTACCGATCGCTGAACGGCAATCGATCAATTTCCCCAGCTCGGACTTTATGATATCGTGAACACGCCCGGCGTCGCCGCTGATCTCTCTCACATCTCGACTCCGGCCAAGGTCGAGGGCTACCTTCCGCCCGACGATGGCCTGAAGAAGGTTCTCACCGGCGCCGATGTCGTCGTGATCCCCGCCGGCGTGCCTCGCAAACCCGGGGTGCGTTCACGATTCCGTCGATTCACGCATATATGCGCGCGTATCTTACTCTTTGACCTTGCAGATGACCCGCGATGATCTCTTCAAGGCATGCACAGATCTCGACACCAGATCATGACACGTCCTGATCTTCCCTCGTAGATCAACGCTGGCATCGTTCGCGATTTGGCCACCGGCATCGCCACCACCGCGCCGAAGGCCTTCGTCCTCGTCATTTCCAACCCTGTCAACTCGACCGTGCCCATCGTCGCTGAGGTATTCAAGAAGCACGGCGTCTTCGACCCGAAGAGGTACGCGGCGGTTCCTCTCGACACGTTCTTTCGTTGACGACAACTCAGGCTCTTCGGCGTGACCACCCTCGACGTCGTCCGCGCGTCAACCTTCGTCTCCGAGATCCTCGGCGACCTCTCTCTCTCCAAGTCCGTCACGGTCCCCGTCGTCGGTGGCCACAGCGGCGTCACCGTACGCACCAACAATACATACACCTGTCTCGCACGTCACTGATACCCCTTCACCTAGATCATCCCCCTTCTCTCTCAATCCTCCCACCCGCTCCCCTCCGACTTCTCCACCTCCTCGCTCGAGGCGCTCACCAAGCGCATCCAGTTCGGCGGAGACGAGGTCGTGAAGGCGAAGGACGGTGCGGGGTCCGCGACGCTCAGCATGGCGTACGCCGGCGCCGAGTTCGCCGCCAAGGTCCTCCGCGCGATCGGCGGCGAGACCGGGATCAAGGCCCCGACCTACGTCCACCTCAGCGCGGACAAGGAGGGCGGCGCGGCTGTGCAGAAGGAGATCGGCACGGAGCTCGACTTCTTCTCGTCCGTCGTGGAGCTCGGGGTGCGTACCTTGCTTCCCTTTCCCGCCGAACCCCACCCTGTCCCTCTCCTTTTGTACGCGAAAAACACGGGCGTGGGCTGATTGTGCGCGTCGTCGTGTGTAGCCGTCCGGCGTGGAGAAGATTCTTCCGCTCGGCAAGGTGACCGAGTACGAACAGGGTCTCATCACCGCGGCCATTCCCGAGCTGAAGAAGAACATCGAGACTGTAAGCCAGCAAAGCCTCAGGGTCACGGTACCCCCCGATTGTTCAGCTTTCGCTAACCTGCCCTTCTTTTTTTTTCTTCCTTATACGCGATCAGGGTGTCGCCTTCATCCAGGCACCCAAGCTTTGAGAACGCGGATCTGGTCAGCGTGTCGCATGGCGCGGTCTGGAGCTCTGCGACATATGCTGACGTCTGTTCTATTTCTATTTCAGGAGACTCGGTCGAGAGGTCGTACAGGCACCGCTGCTGCGGAGGAATGGCGTAGAGTAGTTGTATGAACGTCCAGACCCGAATGCAGGGATTTCACAATGTATTGGATGTGTACTCGTGTCTAAAACAATAAAAGTGTAGTATTACTGGCTGCAATGCTCTAACGTCGGCCGAGTTAGCCCAAGACTACGATGGTCGTCGATCTTACGTGCGCATCAGACTCTTCCTTGCGCCATCACCACAACATCTGCTAATATCTGCCGTCGCCATTTCAGGCGACGTCCAACGCCTATCAGCGTCCACGATCATCCAGAGTACCTTCCCGGACTTCCCGGAGACTATCGCCATGCTCGCAGCGCGCGCTCAGGCTGGCATGCCTCGCGCACCGCACTAATGTCGTTCTATACCCGTCCACGCCCTCCTGACCTCTGCTGCATCTCGCTTCATCAGCCGGGGCGACATCCTGTCTGCGTGCTAACGCCCACTCCCGATCGACCCCGTTCGGCATACCTCTGGCGGGGAGAGTTCGACGTGCCACGGGTAGGGGTGCGTGAGACGCCACCAGACCAGCTGCATATGCCGTCGCGCTTCCACTCCCCTACGTCCTCCACGCCACCGTACCGGAATGGCACGATGTCTTCACCGCGAGGAGACGGCGCGCCGTCGTGGACGTAGTCCGCGAGCCTTTCTCGGTGCTCGCGCGCCCACGCCCGCCCCCCTTCGCGCCTTCCACGCCCGCTATCTGATAGTCCGGCCGTGAATAGGCGCGTATCTGATATCCAACGGCCTGCTGCGCTCATCTGATAACCCTGGGATCGCTCCCCCGGGCGACTTCGTGCACCCTATTTCGCACCGTCCTTCCACTCGGTGCCTGCGCTCCCATGACCTATCAGATAAGATGAGCAGCTTTGCGCAGGACCCGCTTACCCCGTGGAGCTTTTCCGTGTTCCACCGTCCGCTCTTCCTTCTTCCCCAGTTTTCGTTGAAGGTTCAGCAATGGCCCTTACTGCCTCCCAAAGCGACGCTCCGGTAGGGACTGACGACGAGAAGGAGAAGGTAGCGTACGAGGAGGATCGTAGGACCCCCTCTACCCCCGGCTCTCCTCAGACATCCGCACTCGACTATGGGATCGCTGCAAAGCCCAGGCTGCCGATATGGTGGCGAGGGGTGATTATCATCTTGACCTGCTTCTGCACATGTCAGTCGACTCCATTTCATCAACGTAGTTTATTAACCCAAATTTATGTAATAGTCGGTAACCATTGGTCCAATGGATTAATTGTGTGAGCCTGTGGTGACCTTCCTCGAGGTTTCGCATTTTAAACAAGTTTTCAGCGCGATGAAGACGACGATCATCAAAGAAGACAAGATCAACAACTCGCAATTCGCGACCTTGGTCTGTGATATTTTTCATAATTGCGGAAAGAGCTGACGCTTCAGCTCTCCGTTCCTAGGTCGCCGTCACCAACCTGGTAGGTCATACGCACGTTGCAAACGTATACGTACCAACGACCCGTCTCGCGGCCAGGTTAACACGTTCCTGTGTATCGGCCTCGGGTTCACCATCGACAAATTCGGCGGCGCGCTGCTGTCGATCATCCTCGCGAGCTTCCACTTCGCGGGCTCCGCCGTGATGGCCGGCGCCGCGACGAACCACCTCAACAGCTACGCCCTGCTCATCGTTGGAAAGACGCTCGCCGCCATCGGCGACGGCTCGCTCGACAATGCTCAACACCGGATCTTCTCGACGTACTTTGCTCCCGGACAAGGCTTCGGGTTCTCTATCGGTAGGTCTAATGGCTGCCTTGCGCGTAGATTGATGGGCTCACATCTTCGACTATAGGCATGATCTGGTGCGCATCCACATTCTCCCGTTTTAGGCCTTGGCGTTAATCGTTAATCACCGCTTACAGGGGCATAGCCAATCTTGCTCAGTTCACGGGCCAGTCCACTGCCAACATGTTAGTCTCCTGCTACTTTATACAACACGTCAATCTCATGCCTGCATAGTATCACCAAGAACACCGGAACCTACGCGTGGACGCTGTGGATCAGCACCTGCATCGCCGGCTTCTCCGTCGCCTGCGCCTTCTCCGTCTTCTTCCTCGACAAGTACCTCCGCCGCCGTTACACCATCAAGGACCAGACCAGCGGCTTGCAACACACCGGCGCCGTCAGGGGCGGCGTGTTCTCCCTCAAGGCGATCCGCCACCTCCCGCTTACCTTCTGGCTCGTCGTCCTCTTCGCCATCTTCGAGAACGCCGGCGTGCAGAGCTTCGTCTCGATCTCGACGCAGTTCGCGCAGCAGAGGCTCAAGAAAGGCGCGGTCATCGGAGGCTGGGTGTCGAGTTTCTACCTGTTGCTCCCGGCTTGCGCGACGCCGTTCATTGGCATCTTCATCGACATGTATGGGAACCGGATTTCGTTCTGTATGCACATTTCCTGCTCCCTCGCAATCCCGCACTGACCTCAACCATAGTGTTTGCCTCCGGTCTCACGTTCTTGATTTCGATGCTTCTGCTCAAGTTTTCTCACTCGGTCCCTGCTTTCAGTAGGTGTCTCCGCTCTTTGACGATACGACACGTTCTGACATATTTCGGCAGTCGCGGCATACATCTTCTATGCTTTGTCACAGGTGTGGATCGCTGATTGCTGGCATGATTCCTGGTCCTGGTCTCACGTTCTGCCAGGTCGTCACCCCCGCGCCCCAAGTAGAGATCATTCGTAACATCATCCCCGACCCCCAATACTTCGCCACTGGGTATGACATACCTGCATTCTTGCGCTTCTTTTCTTCTCGCTGACACGCGTACTTGCAGCTTCGCCATCAAGAAGAGCGTCGTCCAGGCGAGTATCGTCATCATCACGACGGCCGCTGGCAAGCTCCAGGACGATACCGCCAGCAACTCGCTGGACCCCGCAGTCTCCTTGGTACGCAAACCGTTCTTGACGCCCGGATCAATTCGCTGATCTTTCATGCAGTGGCTGGCGTACGCGTTCATCAGCGTCGCCGTCTCCGGCACGATGCTCGCCATCGCGCAGTTCGCTCCCGCCCTCCTCCCCGCCGCGCGCCTCTCGCAAGTCAGGCCGAGCCGCCTCCCGGAAGAAGTCGACCGGCTCTTCCCGTCGGACGCGCTGCCCGCCGGCGCCAAGGGCCCGCACGGCGAGACGCTCGCGTCCGACGTCGACTCGGAGAACGAGATCGCGGAGGTCAAGGTCAAGGAGCGCATCCTCAAGAGCCCGCGCGCCGGGTTCGAGGGCATGCGCTGGGCCTTCCTCGCCGCGTCGCTCGGGATCATCTTCATCGGCTGGATCATGTTCGGCCTCGGTGTCGGCTGGGGCGTCCACGGGTGAGTGCCCACTATGATGCACGATTGCAACGATCTCTGACCTTGCCTTTATTGTTTTGTCGCGCAGATCCGTCATCGCCGGTACCACGGGCGAATGATCGTGTTTGCGGAGAATGTACTAGCTACTATGCAGTTGCGATTTTCTTTCATCTCCTTTATCTCCTGAAAATTGATCGGAGGACTTACTCTTGTTGTACAATATCATCGTGACTCAGAATGAGCGGCGAATGAGCGTTGCAGGGGAGAACACGTGGCCCGCGTTGAGAGGTGACCTTAAAAGGCATCTGTCATGCCTTTATAGAGGAGTCGCTCTGTGCGCCGCGACTTCGAAGGATCTGTCGTCTTACCCCTACGCGCACAACGGCAAGAAACTAAGCATGCTTGAATTACTACTATCATACAATGATTACTGGTCGCTACAGATAGGTGGTCACATGCAATCGCTAGCGTCGTATCGTTCGTAACTCGTCAGTCAAGTTCTTTCCCCTTTTTCACAGCTCGCCCTTGACCTTCGCCGTATTCTTCGCGCTCTCGACGCTAACGCTGCTTGCCTTGCCCTTCAACCAGCCCTTCTTTTGCTCCTTCGAGTCGGCGGCAGCCGCCTTCGCGTCGTACGCCGTCTCCTTCGCCGCCTTGGTTGCGCTGCTCGCGCTCGCGGATCCCTTGGCCGATGCCGACGAAGCGCTGGCAGCTGCCTTGAGCGACGCCGAGGACGCGCTAGCGGCAGCCTTCGCGCTCGCAGAAGAGGCAGACGCGGCGACCTTGCCAGTTGCAGACGCACCGGCGGAGGACGCCGACGACGCAGCGCTGTGAGCCGAGCCGGTGAGAACGCTCAGGATCTGGCCGAGCTTCTCCTCGGCGAGTTCGACGCCGGAGTACAGGTTCTCCCTGATCTTCTCGTACAGCGCCTCGACGCGGCTGTTAGTCTGCACCCAGCGGATGCGGACCTCTTGAAGCAGACCGGGGCGGCTAGTCGGCAGCGCGCCCTCAGAGAGACCACGGTTGCGGAGGTAGGCGCGGAGACGGGCGTCCGGCCAGACGAGATAATCGGCGGTGCGGGTGGAGGCATTGTCGTACTTCTGGTTCATGAGCCGGATGAGCTCGTCGCGCGACTTCTGCGCGTCCGTGCGGAGGTATCCGTGCTCGATCAGCCAGTCGCGCATATCCGAATCCTTCCACGAAGCCCAGATCGTGTCCTGCGCGTTCGCGTAGTTGTCCGCGACGAGCCGCTGCAACTTCTCGCGCTCGACCTGCGCGTCCGACTTGACGATGTTGTGCTCGATCAGCCACTGTTTCAGCTGGCTCTCGTCCCAACTCGAGTAGACTGTCTCCTTCGTGTCGTAGTAGTACCTCGCCATCTGGTCTTGAAGCGCCTCGCGCTGCTTCTGCTCGTCCGACTTGAGGAGGTGATGCGTCACGAGCCATTCGCGGGTGTACGAGTCGGACCAGGCGCGCCAGACGGGGTTAGCGGTTTTCGCATAGGTGTCTTGCATATAGGACAGGAGCTGCTCGCGGGTGGTCTTCGCCTTGGGCTCGACGACGCCCTTCTCCTCGAGGTAGGCGCGAAGTGCGCTGTCATCCCACGACGAGTACACGTAGTCCTTGGTTTCGTCGAGCTTGCGCGTAACCGGAGTGGTTGCAGCCGCGACAACCGAAGATGCAGAGTTCGACGCGACCGTGTACGCGGAGGCCGCAGATGCGGATGCCTGACTTGCGATCGAGGTCGCGGACTGGCTAGCTTGGCTCGCCAGGGAAGTTGCGGACTTGCTGGCTTGTTGGGTGCGGTCGCCGTAGACGGCAGTGGATGCGGCGGTAGAAACGGAGGAAGAGAAGGAAGATGCGGCGCTCGTGTATGCGCGGTATTTTTGCTTCGCCATGAGCGCGAGCGACTCTCGCGGGCCGGAAGGCTGGACAACACCCTGTTCGAGAAGGAATTCCCGCAATCTGCAAGGCGAACGTCAGCGCCGGAATGCACACTATCGGGCATGAAAACATGTACCTCGACTCATCCCATGTATCGAAGGTAGAGTCCTTCACGTCGGCAAAGACCTGCTGGGCTTTGTAGTACTGGTCGGCGGTCCATGACGACGCCGAGTTCCAGTTGGCCTTGACGAGGTTCTGGAGTTCAGACTTTGAGTAGCCCTTGGGCGCTTGGATGTTGTGCGCCTCGAGCCATGCTCTGGTCTCGACTTCATCCCAAGATTTATATGCTGTTGAAAACGCGTCAGCACGCGATCCGTCTTCAACGACGCGTCGCACGTCGGGCTCACCTGGTGCGTCGGACCCAAACCAAGAGGCTTGAGCGCCGGAGAGTGTGAGTGCGCAGACCAACAGTAGAGACGGGCGCATGGTCGGTGGTCGTCGTAAAGGTCGTGAACGGTGGGGCGACCATAGCGGCGCGGCCTGGGTTTTATTCGCGCGCAGGAGCGGGGCAGGCGCGCGTCATGGGACGTCACTGACGTCATCCAATGCTATGGCGCGTCCACCGCGCCCGCAACGCCCTCGTCCAACGTTGCATATAGTTCCCCAAAAGGCGAGCCAATACTCCTCTATACAGGAAGGATGCGATGGATATTGTCCTGTAGCTCATTACTTTACAGCGAGAAAAGCATCGCGAAGGGACAGCCCGCTTTCATTTTATATATATGCTACACCATCGACGTGAATGTGATGGCCACAACAGGCTCCAATGAAGGCGTCATGGCATCATCCATGCATGTTCCATTCGCGCCTTGATCGGATGAACGTCTTTCACATTGCGGAGGCACAGCACGATCGCGCCAAGGCTCGAGTCTCCACTGCGAAAATGATGTATACGAACTGAAGAGGAATCACCACATCGTACTTTCAGGTTCTGTCCCCCATCGCGGTTCTCTCTGTTACGAATGATCCGTATTTGTGATTCGGAGTGGCGTTGGGCCTGGAGCGCGTCGGTGGAGTTGGAATGCGCTTCCACCTGAAAGTTATCCTCGCTGTCAGCTTTAACAGATTCAGCGCCAGCTCAGAATTGATGGAGTGTTGTCTCAAGGCATACTTAGCTATAGGATGCCGCTGGATGACTGTGATGACCGACAACACAGCAGTAAGTGACTTGGGCACGCGCGTCAATGGTAGGGTACTGTACTTTTACGACCGTAAGTTCGTCCCGCGTCCCCGGGGCACCCGAACCGAACTTATTGTCCCCTGTCCCCTGGCACTCCGAACCTCTGGGACGCATAATATCTGACCGTGAGAGTCTTAAATCTGACTGTGTGATCAAAAAATCTGACCTCGTAAGCACGTGTCCCCCGGGCAGGCTGCGGATGAACTTCCCACGGCCCCGAACTTGGGGGGTGTCCCCTGTCCCCCTCCGACCTGGCCGAACTTACGGTCGTAAAAGTACAGTATGCTGCTTCCGATGCGGGTATCTCCGAATACTGATCAAGCAATAGTCGACAACTACATCTCCTACTAATGCGCGTGTTGCCATCGGAGTGACCCATACTAACTACAGAGCTCGCGAGGACTCGTGGGAAGACGTTACCAGATATCGACGTGGCATCGATGGCGACAGGCTGTTGCGATTGAGCCCAGTCTTCATTTGCCCAAAAGACATCCATCTCTGTGCTTCTCTCTACTGTACGCGCACTCAACCTTGCACATCTCTGGCTCAGTTGTCCCGGATGAGGACCGGGTAAGGAGTATCTGTTCTGCTGGCTGAAAACCCTCCAAACAACTATGACCTTCGTTCAGACTGAATCACCCCAGCTTAATAGATCGTCATGCTTTTGAACCGGAACGAGACGGACCAGTACAAAGAACAAGGGCCCAATTTGAAGCGCATGCTTCTTAGCGCATTCTCATCGGTGACGATCCGGGCAACCCCCGGGCCTTCGCGCACATCTTGCGCCTTCCTCCCGAAATCATGTCCTTAATCTTCTATCACGCAATCCTCGACTCCTTCGACCGCAGAAGATATCCATCTAGTCATGCATTCACGAACGTCTGTCGATCCTGGCGAGAACTCGCTCTTGGCACTCCTGATCTGTGGACGGTGCTGCCTCGTACCACACAGGAACTGACGAACACGTTTTTGGCAAGATCGGTGAATGGCCCGCTTCAATAGACATCGTAGCTTCTTCGATTTTGTGTCACATGGCTCTCATACAGGAACTTGTACTGACTTCTGATAAACCTCCCGGCCCCGCTCCTTTTCCGCTGCTCGCTGCATGCCTATCGTGACGAGTCGCTCCCGAATAATTTTCTGGGCTTGGATGCCCCCCAGCTCCGAATCCTACAACTCAATGGCGTGTCAGATATGCTGCGCTGTCCCTCGCTTGTTCGCAACCTGACAAGCCTCGAACTGGATCCCCTGCGAGAACGCTGCTTTCCGCGGAGCGCTGAGGTCATATGTTCTCTGCGTTCAATGGCCCTGTTGCAAGACTTCCGTATAAGAGCGGGATGGCCGTTTCGGGATTCGCTCTCGCGGCTTGGAGAAGCCCTTCAAAACGGTGCGGTCTTGAATCACCACCGGGAACTCAGCTACTGCGGGCCAGCCGATCACCTGGCTGTATTATATGACAATCCCTTCAACAATCGCGACATCTATCGTGTTCTTTATGGAGGAGCCGCCGATTGAAGTCACGCCATTAATGGCCAAGTTGCAGGGTCATTGTACGACTCAGGACAAGGGTCGTGCAGTGCGGCGCGCGCATTATGGCCATCCAGACACTGTATACAGCTTGGCGCTCTACTCGCTCGGCACCGTTACGACATTGCTCTCCCTGACTTTTGAGCACGATTGGATTCCCATTCGCGATCTCTTGCACATCATACAGCTCCAGAATATCGATATTCTCGAGTTGTCCATCGACGATTCGAATAGCAAATCCGAAGCGATGCTCGTCCTGCATCAAGGCCGGTCAGCGTCGGAGCTGCGCCTAGAGTCTCTTACCACCTGCAAGTGGATAGCGCCTCTCCTCCTGGAGGAGGGTCTGGACGGCGCTTCGGTTCTCAGGACTGCACCGCGTATCCATGCACCTGCGGCATGAGAGACCTTCTATGGAGCTCATCAAAGCTTGGCAGGATCTTCTGGCGCGAAGAAACACATCGGGTCGATTGGAGTTGGTATTCAGAGGCGCCAATGAATTATTCGGTCGGGAACCAGAGAGCCTTCGCGAGATCGCCGGTCCGGATCGCGTAGTGTTGACGAAGTGGTGACGCCCTCATGCCAGTTTCAAAATAGGTTACCATCCAACGCACTGGTTTATGCCGGCCTCTGGAGATGTGCGGACGGACTTCCAGATCACCATACCAACGTGCGTCCCATGACACTAGTCGCTTGAGTAGACACTTATAATTCTTATCGGACCGTCCGATGATCGTCGCATCGTCTCTCATGGCCATATGTAAAACTGACAATGCATCTATCATAGTCTCTGTCTCGTCATGGGACAATGCCGTCAACTTCGTCGTCCTTTGCGTTCACCATACGACAATTCACTCAAGCCGAGCGCCAAATTGCTGAAAGAACGTATTCGTTTCGCTTTCATTCGCTATAAGGCCTCCGTCGGCCAAATTTGTCTTATTGATCCGAAGGGCGTCCGCATGTTCGAAACTGAGACATATGTTGAGCTCGCATCTCTGTCAGCCGACGATGATGGCTGCACTATGCTTTCTGAATCTGCGGAGAGAGAAGAGAGGGTCGCCTACGTCTCTAAGGTATGGAGCGCCACTTCATTCACATGCAAACAAAACATAACATTTCCGTGCAGGTTCACTTCCAGAGGTGGTAGTGTGGTGTTTGAGATATCGAATGGATTCATATGAACCTTCGAACATCAGCCTAGCACCAGGATCCTTCAAGCATGTCGAATCCAAACTCGGAAGCTTCAACAAATCGAGGACTCAAGCTCACAAGCTGCGATACCCCACCGTATGCGGAGACGCTTCCGTGTCGCTGTGCGCTGGAGATCCGAAGGTGAGTCTTAGACATGTACCAGAAAGACATATTTCCTCAGCAAATCTTTGCGATAGTCCATTTCCCCTGTGAGTCGCAACCTTCGATTACATTCCGAGATGTACGTATGGCGCCCATCTACTCGGGTCCGGATGATCTTTCCTCAACTTCTGAATAGCTTCGTCCAGCGCATATGCAACTTCATCGGGGTCGAGGTGCTCTCCGTCATTGCTGAATATGTCCGAATACACCGATTTTGCTATCGTGGGCCCGTCGATATCTTCCATGGACCTACGTGGTTTCAGTGGAGCGAACTGATCGGCTGCAAGAGCGAATCATGACCAAGCTTACCACAGAGTGGCAATGACACTTTTGAAGCCGGCGAACAACATGGTTGCAGCAAGGTGGACCGTCTGGTCCGGTTGTCTCTATAAGATGTGCTTTTGTAAGTGTTCCCTGAACGAGTATCGGATCGACAACTCACTCCGTCTCCTTTCGCGGTCTCGCAGGCACTCAGGAAAGCCATGAATGCGTTCGGAAGCGGCACGGGCATCAACTCCTCGATGGTCAGCATGGAATCTCGCATCACGAAACCGCTTTTGAGCGGGTTCTCCGGGTTCTGGTAGCCGTGGCACGCGAGGTGGAGAATGTTCGCCTGCGGCAATTCCTCGAGGAGCCTCCCAGTCGTCAGCCCATCACTGTTCAGCAGCAGATCAGGTTTGCCGCCTCCTTGTCGAAGACCTATCGTTGCTCGCGCTGACAAGGCCTGACGTACAGCGCCGACTTCTTCGACTGTCCAATGGAGATCACTCCATTCTGAAAGGAGTGTCGACGGAACTGCCGTGACAAGAGCTTGAACATCATTTTTCTTGATTGGTTTGTATGCTCTTCTTGCCGCAAGGAGGGATCCAAGAGTCGGAATATACGAGGATACGACATAATCGGAGCACCAACACTCCTCTGTGCCGGCAGCATGAACAGGAAGATGAGAGAAGCGACCAGTCGGACACCACCACAGGCGGGGGCGCGTTTTTCCTGTTGCGGACTATACATTCAAGATATCAGTATTCGTGCATATAGGGGATTGAACTGTAACTCATACCTCTATGTTCAAAGCCAGCAGGACAGGTTGCACTACATCCTGCCACAGTCGATGTAACACATTGGCAATCCGCGTGCGTCTTGACGACGCACGATTTCCAGCTTTCACTAAACTTAGACGCTCCCTCAGGGCCGACCTCGCTTCCATGACGCCAGAATGCCATGCTGTCTCTGCTTCGACAAGCCAATCCTCCGTAATCCGCTTCAAAGCGAGGCTCAGAATGTCTCCGGACGGCTTGATGATAATGGCATGACATGCCAGTGCGCTGGAAACAAGCATCACCACTGGCCCTCTCTCTGCGGACCTTGCCAGCATGGTAAACTGGTCAGGAAGCAGGAAACGCTCTAACCCAGGAAGGCGCCGGACCTTCTCGAGCAAGGAGTTGAATTCCTCGCTTTGCTGTCTTCTCCGGGCAGCCTCGAGTTCTGTCGCCTTGGATTCATCAGCGTCGTTCGGCGAGTCAAGTATCCTATCTAACTGTCGAGCGAGAAACGTTAGCCCCGCACGAAGGTCGTCCGGCACCGCTTCGAAAGGAGAACGAAGGCATAAGATATGTGCCCAGAAGACGGCACGGCCTTGTTCCAATATCTCCACGGCCCTCTGCGGTAGCGAAATAGCAAGTGCGTGAGACGCGCCTTCACGAGCTATATCCTGACCGATGATCAGGGAATCAAGCCGCGTTCGCAAATGAGGACCCAAGAGTGCCACACGAGGTAGGAGGCTGATAACCTGCGCATAAATGTCCAGGAGCAGCAACGATATGGGCTGTTCTTCGGCAAACATATCCCTATGACACTGTTGAATGATTCGGAGTATGTCCGTCCCATCTCGAATTCGTGATCGCACATCTCGATGATCGTCTGCCAAGGCCTCTGTCAGATAGTTGAGCGCGAGCACCGGGTCGCGGTAGGGGGTGTCGTGATGCAGCGATAGCTTCGCAGCAGCTATGAGGCAGTGGTATCGCTCGCGACGGCCGGGGTTGACTGTATGTAGAAGGTCTATGATGATATCCGATGCATATGAAGCATCTTCGACGTGGTGAGTATGTCGATATCTTGCGTAGTGGCATCTAGCAAGTGTGCGCCGCAGCTCCGGCCAAGACGACCGCTCTGAATACTCGGCTATGACAAGTGAAAGATATTGGATAGCTCGATTGAGGTCGGAAACATCGTGTCGGTCCTTCCCACGTAGGATGAGAGCCTTGGATAGGTAAAATTTCGCTTCAGCCCGATCGAAAGAATGATCGGAAGGGATGATGCCAACTAGTGCTTCCGCCAATGATATGGCCTCCTCGAGGTCCTCTAGGTTACCAAGCACCTCGTAACGCGTGCAAAGATGAGATATGACTTTCATCGTAACGTCGCCCCGTTCCGTGTGGGAGGGAGAAATAGCTGCTAGAGCACGCCGATCCCAGTAGAGTGCTTCATTGAGGTCGGATAGATCGCCCGCTTCGTGAAAACGTAGAATTAATGTTGCTGCAAGATTGCGAGCAGGAGAGAACCATCGGGTATTGTCTTCAGATAAAGCATCCACGGCTTGTCGACAGAGCTGAAGTGACTCCTCGAGATCGCTGAGCTCGCCAGTGCAGGCGAACTGGAGGCGCAGTGCTATGGATAGGTTATCTAGGTAAATCCAGTAAACTTCGGCGTGGGGAGGGGAGCGTTGCAGAGACGTGCGCTGAAACTCCACCGATTCCTTGATGTCTTTTTCCGATAGGGTAAGTTGATGGCGAAATGTGAGTAGATTGCCCATGGTCGTCAAGAGGTTTAAGCGCGGCTGGCCATGCGGGCGATCTGTCTGCACAGTAAGTCGTCCGATGTCGATCGCTCTGTCGAGATCACTGAGAGCGCCATAGTCGTAGGATCTGTGGTACATTCCCATGAGGGTATAATACACAGCTTTGTATCGCTCGACGTGATTGGCTGGGCACAGACGTAGAGCCTCCTTGAGAACGCCAACAGATTCATCGAGGTCGCCTCGATTTCCGGAGAATTCGTACGAACGAAGCAAGTACGTGCCCAGGTATCGAAGGTGTCGGTGCTTATCGTGGGCTTGGGAAGGCACTATCTCTGCCAGAGCCTGTCGCTGCAGCTTTATTGCTTCGACGATAGATGTCATCCCTAGGTACTGATGGACGATCCACGAGAGAGTGCAACAAGCTGTCGCTCTCAAAGGATGGCCGGGAGCACAGAGCGAGATGGCATGGCGGCACATGTTCTCCGCGGCACGTCTCGCCTCAATATCCGACGACCTGCCGGCGTGAGCATCCAACATGCCCGCGTAGAATACAGATACGGTAGGGCAGTCGGCATGCTCTGCGTTACAGAGTTCCAGAGCGCGCCTTCCATGAGTGATGGCAGTATCGAGATCTGTCGGGTCATCGGCATAGACAGACCGGGTCTCGTACACTCGTGCAAGATGAATAAGAACATGGTACTGTCTCGTAGGCGCATAGGCAACCATCTCAGGAGCACCGTCACGGTTATCAGGGTCACTGAAAGCCACCGAGCAATCCCCAGTCCGCGTCGTGGTGTCGGCTAAGAGGGCTTCGTATTGTTCGATGCAATCCTTGGCAATTTCGAGATCGCTCTCCCTACAAAATCTGTCATAAAGTCGTAGGGCGTCCGCAAGAGCTGCGGTAGGCTCAGGCACCGGTACTGACATAGGTGGTTATGAGCAAGCCGTAATCTTAGGGGGGGGGATAACGAAGGCTCACTTGTTGCACACTCGCATATGCGTCGCATTCCTGGGGGAGAAGAAGGCACATGCTCTGGAGAGCAATCCGGCTTGACGGTAAGAGGCCCCACTAGCGATAACCATGATATATGAGTGAAAAGTACAATACGGACAAGCAATAAACGCACGGAACGCTGAAGCAACATCATCGTGACCTGCCATCGCGATCTTTAGCGGCGCTGAGTCCACGAAGATAACTTGCTCGCACCTTATATATGACTGGGGCTGATGACTTCTTGTAGTTATGGTTGGAATACCGCCGGCGCCCTCACGGTAATGCGTCACAACTCAGGCCTCAGGCCTCAGGATTCAACAGCGCCCATATCATCATCAAAGAACCTCGAACGGGACATTTGATTTCATGACGATGAGTCAACAGGGCCGCATGAGAGTGAAGCGCGTCGGAAATCCGTATCATGATTCCGGTGCATGCGGAGCCACGCAAAGAGCAATGGATTCAGAGTATTCGGCTAATGTTAGCATCATGGCGGGCGATGCGCGTGCACGAGCAGGGTTGGAAGATATTCAAGAAGCGAAGGAACCAGATACGACATGCTACTCTCATGGGGGAGGTGGTGAGTATAGAACCATATAACACAGCCAGCGGGAGAAGGTGAAGCAATGCCGAGAGAATTCGTCGGGAGAAGCGTGATGTAGGGGATCGTATGTAAGCTCGAAATTCGTCGAATGTCGATCGTCTACATAGAGTCCCCAGGCCCGACTGGACTCCAGTGCACCTTCAGTTGCCAGTGACGCAAAAGACAAGTGAGATTTGGAAAAGCGAGCACCGAGCGAAGCTCGGTGCGCCGTCTTGGAGAGAGGGAGCACGTATCGTAACGCCGCGTCAATGTACAATTTCTCACGCTATTCCTTTCCGGAGCCTCACCGCGAGAGCGGCCGGGGCATACCTGCATCAAAACCCACCCTCCCCATTCCCGATCTTTCGTGAATCCTTTCTTAGCAAACTTCAGGCGAGCCTCCGGGCCCGCCTTCGGTTTGCGCCCGAAGGGGCGGCCCCTTGGGGCCGCTTCCTTTCACCCAAATGAGAAGAAAGGGCCACAACATAAGACTCAATCCTTTGCACAGCACGAAACGACAAGACATTGAGTTGTGATGCAACGACGCAGAAGTGGCTAAGTATGAGAGTGTGATTATTTGATTAAAACCCGCATAGCAACGGAGGCAAAGTGTCTGGTCGCTGGTGTCCAGATTGGCATTATCGCATCGAGTCCATAGCAGGGGTGCTACACGTACAATTGCATAAGATTATATGTTACACGTGCAAATGAATTGAGATCACGACAGACGAAAAACGAAGAATATACAATACGGGGTCATACAACAACGACTTCCGCATCCCCAAATTGTTGCTGCCCCGCCTTCGCGTCTTCAGCAAGATGATTTTCTGGCCGGCGTTCCGCATCGGTGGGCGTTCTCGGTTCCTCATGAGCGCTGGATTCCGATTCAGTGCTCTCAACCTCCATCTTCTCGTCATCCTTCGGCTCCGGGAGCTTCGCATTCTCCGCATTCGTCTCCTCCACAGCATCCTGCCTCTGATCCTTCTCTCGCGGGTCCTGCGTCGCCGACTCGCTCTCAACAGCCATATCGGCATCCCTCTCCTCCTCCTCTGCCACCGCTTGTGGCTGATCAACCGTCACGTCCTCCGCAGCGACCGTATACGCTTCGCTCTGGCTTGATGTGCCCTCCATTTCACCTGTGGGAGGTACAGGCTCTTGTGACGAGCGCGCAGCCGAGAAAAGATCTTCATCAACGGTGCTCGGAATGACCAACGCGCTGGTGTCGTGGTCAGCGGCAGCGGGTTCTGTAGGGGTCGAGGGAACTGCAGGCGCCAAGGTCGCGGAAGGCACCGAAGCGACTGTCGAGCCTGGTTCGGGAACGTCTTCGATCATGGGTGAAGTAGGCTCGTAGGCGTCCGCTGGCGCATCGGTATTAAGCAACTCCGTTTGCACGGTGGATGTGTCGTACTTGGCCGCGGCTGACGTTGCTGACTCCGCGGCGTCGACTTGCTGACTAGAGTCCGTCTGCATCACGCCCGCCTCCTCGGTAGCAGGCACGCATGGCTCGACAGGAGCTGCAGTTGCGGACTCCGTTTGCATGGGAACATCTGCTTCGGCGCTGCTCTGCGCACGCAGATACGCCTTCCACACCTGCTTCCGCCACCGATCCAAGTTCTCCGCCTCCGCCTCAACCTTCCGCACCATCTCCTTTCGCCTCTCCCTCACAGCCTTATCGCCGCCGCTCTCCACCGTATCAAGCGAGATAAGCAGTCGGTTAAGCTGCTCCGCGTACGCGTGAAGAGGAGTGTTGTTGTGGGTATACGCGAGCCGGGGCGTGTTCTCCGTCTCCGTCTCGCCGCTATCGACGGTATCAGAAGAGAGGCTAGGCGTAGGGGGCGGAGTGACGTGAACGGTTTCGCCATCGAGGATGAAGTCGACGGTGGCGGGGAAGGAGAACTCGGACTTGAGCTTGTCGAAGCGCTCGCCGACGGATGCGATGGACGCGAGAGCTTTCCGTCGCGGGAGGTTGGTGCGATAGAAGGTCTGTATTTTGCTGGCAGCGGCGTGCTGTTCTGGGGTCCACTGTGGTGACGAGGGCTTCGGCGACCGAGCGGGTTCCGCCGCACGAGGGGCTTCGGCCTGCTTGGTAGAATGGGCAGGATGAGGGGTTTGCTTCGGGCTGGGAGGAGCCATTGAACGCGCTCGCGTATGACCGGGTGACTGTGTACGAGCGCGCGACGAAAGCGGTGGTTGACGTCGTCCACGGGCGAACTGGGAGGAGACGAACGTCAATAACAGCGATTTGACTGATGGATAGGCATGGTTGCTTACCGTATCGTCTACATCAGTGGCATCGAAACGTTGGGGGACGGGGATGCCAAGGCTGCGATAGAACGCATCCAGAGGGTCCGTGGGTTGCGTGAAGCGCTCGCTCTGTCTCCTGCGACGGCGCTCGGCTTCTTCGCGCTCAGCCTGTTGGCGTTGACGGAGGAGGGTCTCTTGCTCTAGACGACGAAGGCGTTCAAGTTCACGCTGTTGCTCCTGCAACCTTTGCTCTTGCAGTAGCCGCTCGCGTTCCCTCTCCCGCTCACGCTCCAATCTCTCCAACATCTCCTGCCTCCTCCTTTGCTCCTCCAGGTATGCGCGCTCTCGCGGGCTGTAGCCGAACGATGTGTAGGGGTTAGGGGTGTAACCGCTGCCGTAGCCGTAGCCATCGTCTTCGTCATCGTCAAGGTAGGCGCTCCATTGCTGACCGTGGCCGTGACCGAGCTGGCCAAGCCGTTCCTGGGCGAGGCGAGCACGCGCAGCACGCTCACGGGCCTCTTGTTCGGCGCGGCGGGCGGCTTCGTATTGCTGTTGGGCAGCGCGCTCCTCAGCTAGGGCGCGCAGGTAGGCGTTATCGGAGGGCCGATAGGCAGAGTAGCCGTATGGGTCTGGATAGTACGAGTTGAACATCGTCGACGACAGCGGTCAAGTTGAGTAGTGCGCGACATGACGCGGGGGCGGGCGATAATATACATTTCGCGGTGGAGAACGACGACGGTCGTCGAAGGTGCGAGAACGCAGGGGGCGCTGCTCCAAAAAGGAAACCGAAGGCGGGAGAATATTCGCGAACGTGGCACTCGGGCTGTACGCGCAACATCAGCGTATGTCAGCGTTCCACACCACACGGTCAGTGTCGGTCACGAGTCACTGCATGGCAGGCTCCCTTCTGGAGACGAAGCATGGTTTGGGCACAGAGTCACAGACAACGTCGTCCCTGCACTTCCTCATAGTCCTCCAGCCTTGCAACGCGAATATGACTGCTCCCATATACGCCTGGATCTAGGCCGATGCGCATATAATGTCCAATACACATCCTGTATATGATCTCAAACAGTCCATCTACGATACATCTGGATCGTGTCATGTCTTAGTGTTCGCACCAAGCCCTGCCTCTGCTCTGCTCCATCTGCCCCACGGTTCTTCACCCGGGACGAACCGCGCTTTCACCAATGTGAAAATCCACTTTTCCAGTAGTTCCGCGAACATGAGGAGGGCGAGCACCGTCAGGTCGCTGAAGGTACGGGCAGATTTGATCAGCGCATGCACACGAGCGTCGGGATCTAGAGGGTGTCGGGGAGGAATGGGTAAACCAGGAGACGTCAGTACCACAGGCGGCACAGGTCGGAGCCGGAAGCGCTGCGCGAGCGTCCGACTCGGCGAGGAAGGGTTATGGAATACGCGAAGGAACAGCGCGCGATCCGAGGTCCAGAATATACGGTCGATCTTGCTCTGTGCTTGGTCGCTCGCTGTCAGGAGGGCGTGGGCAGCGGAGGGCATCAGGAACAACGTGGAGAAGAACCGCGGAGACATATAGTGGATGAGCAGGTGGGACGACGACTCATTTTCCGCGCCGAAGGTGAGTGGAGGAACGGCGGGATTGGCGGAGATGAGAGAGACGACGGTGTTCGTGTCTCGTGCGCGGCGGCGCAAGAAACCTTCAATACGCCTCCGTGTGTACGCTTCCAACGGACCTTCCGGTTGCCAGCCTACACCTCCACCCAGCAATGATGATGCTGGTGATTTCATGCAGTCTCCTTCAAGGAGGAGTGGCTGAACGGGGTATGGTTCTGGGCGCGCATATACGTCGAGACCCTTCCGGTAGTGTAGTATCCACGCTTGGTAGAGGATGCGAGGCATGCTTAGGAGTAATCCGAGAGGCGCTCCGAGTATAGCGGAGAGGAGAGAAGACACGGTCAAGGGGATAGCTGAGGTAGGTCGGATAGTAGCTGTGAGCTTCAAGGCACCGGCCTTCTCGTTGTCATGTGGTGCTGAGCCGTCAACAGTGTCCGATGGGAGACGGAAATCGACTCGTACAACGGGAAGTGGAGGCTTGACGACGTCAATCTGACCATTGGGGGACGGAGGATGGGATGGAGCGTTCAAAGAGACGGTGTAAAACCCGGAGCGGTCGTTGAAGGGAGAGACATGGAAACGACGAGGGAATGTCCATTGATGGTCGAATCTGCGTGGACGGGTTGGTTCAGACTTTTTCTTGCTCAGTGCGAGCGGGGAACCACGCACCCTCGCCTAGGTTTCTCCTCTCCCTTACCCAACTCCAGTAGATAAACATGTGCTTCTCCGAAGGTGTTGTGAACCTGATCATGAGCGATATCACGAAGAGCGTGGCTAAAGAGAGCTCACCTCCAGTACGACTAACCAAAGCTCGCCCGCGGGAGTATAGCAATAGTATACCGACAACGGGTTGATGCCTTCAATTCCAAGGAAGCCCGGCATCGTCTGTAACCACACATCGTGTACTCGGTTTTTCGCATCCGCATACCCACGAGAAGTGAGGAGGAGGACCAGCTTCTCATTGATGGACAAACCCGTCGAGCCCGGAGCGACCGCGGTAAGGTATCCTTGAGGTCGGAGACCTGTCAATCGACCCCACAGCGAGCCATAGCCGAATATCCATCCCCGAGCCAAGTCAAGCTGTCCGGATTCCAGAGCATCCAGAGACAATAACAAGGAGAGCGTTGGGTATCTGAACGCGTGTGTAGCGGTTTGCGGAAGGAGGCGAGCGTGAGTGACCCGGTTGTGCAGGACGTAGGCCCGGGGTGAAATCATCTCAGTAGCGCTCTCGTTTCAGTACATCCTGTCGTTGCAAGACGCAAGGAGCTCTGTGCCACCGGAGGCGTGACAAGAGCAATGTAGAGACGATGTGATGCCATGGACACAGCTGACGCTGCGATGGACGGTCTCGGTCGCGTCGAGCCCCTGATCATGACGACTATGGGATCGGAAAACAACATTCCCAGCAAAACATCAACCTAGGGCGTACAAGAATGTTCTATGCGACACGTAAGGCTACAGGGACCGCGCCTCGCGCGGAACGTTTCGGTAGGCTTGCTCAAGCACGACTTTGATCTAGTCCACCTCCAAAACGGTACCGCGTTGGACGCTTCCCCATCCTAATAAAGACCAGGTTAGTGGAAACTGACGGTGCAGGCACGGAGGGTGACGAAGTGGAAGTGGTACGCACCAACAAGTCGCCAATGCTTTTCTATCCTACGTGAAAGGGCAACCTTCTCGCCAATCTCCGTGCACGCTGGTGACGTGAGCTGAATCTTGGCCAAGTCTGCCTTGACGCTAAGCACACGGCCACCGGTGGAGGTGGAGCCGATGTTGATGAGGAGCAGCTCGTTCTTGACGAGCTTGGAGACCTTGGTTTGCTTCTTGTCCTCAGTCTTCACACCGAGTAGACGACGGAGAAGGAAGAGACTAATCTCCAGCTCTGTGATGGCGATTCATCAACTCGCATAGAGACTCCGCTCACTGCATGAATCTCACCCGTGTAAATCTGGGGTAGTTTACCGACCGCGCCCAAGACCTGCCCAACGAGTCGGTCCGCACGGCACAAGGTCGGGTCAATCTTGGTTCCGACACCGATCAGCCCACCGGGCACCGCGAACTGCAGCTGGTTGTTCTCCGCGAGCAGCGTGACGATCTTGCTGAAGATCGGCTTGCACTTGTTCCGTCCCGACGCGTCCTTCGTGACGATTCCGGGTCTGATCTCGATCTCCTGGCCGAGGCGGAGGACGCCGGTGAGGATGGAGCCGCCAGCGACGCCGCCCTTGAGTTCGTCGACTTCCGCACCTGGTTTGTTGACGTCGAAGGATCGGATGACGATGAGCTTGGGGTCGGAAGTGAAATCGCGGACGGGAACGGGGATGCGCTTCACGATGTACTCGTTGACAGCGTCGATGTTGTACTTCAGCTGGGCAGATATCGGGACAATAGGAGATGACTCGGCCACGGTGCCTGCGGAATGTTCAGCATGGGATCGCAAAGCATAAGTGCCGGATACGCACCCTTGACGAAGGCGGTAATGCTTTTGTGGTGCTCGAGAGCCTGTTGCTCCTTGATGAGATCCACCTTGTTTTGCAGGATGATGATGTGCTCAAGCTTCATGATCTCCACCGCGGCAAGATGTTCCGAGGTTTGCGGTTGTGGGCAAGTTTCGTTTCCCGCGATGAGCAGCAGCGCGGCGTCCATGACCGCGGCACCGTTCAACATGGTGGCCATGAGAATGTCGTGACCGGGGCAGTCGACGAAGGAGACATGGCGGATGAGCTTCATACGATGACCACACCCTGGGCGTTCGCATGGTGGGTGATCTTCTTTGTCGGAGCGGTATGAGCGGTAGCAGCCAGGTCTTGGGCACGCATCGTTCTCGCATTTGTAGATCTAATCGACGAAGGGAGGGAAGTATGGTGGCATTAAGCATGGCCACTATGGTAAATTCAAAAAAAGGTAACTTACTTTCGCGTTCGCGTAACCAAGCTTGATGGTGATGTTGCGGACGAGCTCATTCTTGAACCGCACAGTCATGACGCCAGATATCGCCTTCACCACCGTCGACTTCCCGTGGGCCACATGTCCAATCGTCCCTACACAACATTAGCCCTACAACAGCGCGATTCCTTCGCTTCACTAACCCAGATTTATCGTCGCCTGAGCTGCGTCAGTCGCAGCTCTCTCATTACTTCAAGATCGTGGACGAAATGGGACGTACTTGTTTCGAGATGACTTCAGGTGATAGCGCAGTAAGCTTCGTCACGTCCACCTCGACTTTAGGGATGTCCTCCTCGATCTCATCCTCCTCGTCCTCAGATCCCGAATCAATGTGATCTTTCTGCAGTGTTTCGTCTCCGGGCATCTTTGCGTCGATATAAGGGTGGTCTTCCGAGGAGATCTAGAGGTTCTATCGAGTATCTTCACAATGGAAGTATGATCCGAGATCGAGGCGGATTTCCAGCGAAGCTTGCTAGTGACTCGTCGCAAGGGCACACAAGATTTCGCGCAGACGAAATGGCGCGGAACTCGCCCGATGACATTACGTAATCCACCCCTATGATCTCTTCCTTCGATGGCCGGCCGGTGCTTTGCACCTTTACCCGCATTCTTATTCTCTACGCATCCCTAGTAATATCTCCCAGTCACAATGTCACTCGGTGAAGGTATAATCCAACTCAATTCCTACCGCATATGAGATGTAACTCATTTGGCAACTATGCAGCTGATGCGAAGTTTCCGCACACCCACCACTACGGCGAGCCCCCTTCGCCAAGCATCGAGAACCCAGCAGGGGTGCGTATCCTTTTTGACGATGTGTATCAGAACCACGCTCATGAGATATGATACAGGTCTTTCCGTATACAGATCCTCACGGTGTGTATGTTGCCACACGAGTTCACGAATATTCGCTCATAGATTATGTGCAGAAGCTCCTGCGGGCTCGATATCTGGTGTAGGAGATCGCGGACGCAGTTCATCGTCATTGCTAGCGGTTGGAAACCCCTTCCTGCTGCAGGACGTGCTGTACAAGGTCGACCGCGCCCTCCTGGAAGCCATCGAAGCCATTGAAGGGGACGGCGGCAGAGTCTCCGACACAGACAACACCGGGAAGCAGGAGACATTACTTGCAAAGTTTGAGCGCTGGCGAGATGTGAGTATACCCCCCCCCCCCTATCGGCTCTCCATCGTGTAGTATTGACCGATGCCCCCGGACAGGAAATCGACGAGATTCGGAGCCAGACGGGCGTGCAGCCGTCGAGGGCGACCTCGCGCGAAAGCGGGCGTGAAAATGGCTACCAGCGTGAAGGTGGACTATTCGCGGACTAGGCAAGGACGGCCACGTCGAGTGTGGAAAGGAAATCAAGCGAGTATACAACGGATAGCTTAACACAAACAACCTGTAATCCATATCAGCACGCAATCGCAACATGTACTATCATGGAACCAGTGTTCCTATCGAAAACACTGTTTGAAGTGGGAACCAAAATTATGATTAGTGACCACGCTTTCTATGTTTCGTAATGATGTGTCCCTATCTTCGACACAGTCTGAGCTAGTCGTTATATTTTTACGGGACGTTGCAAAGATGCTAGGAATATTTTACGGGATGAGGCCGTTGAGGGACCCGGAGTTCCTACCAGGGTCACACTCGTGTCACAGCCGGCATCTCCAGCCTCCGCTTCGGCACGAGATGTCGCGTCGACGTCGCAGCGCACAGAACGAGTTCTCTCCACCAGCAGATCTATAAGATGAATGTACACTACAACACAATGCTATCTACAGTATTATATCTTCCTGAAAAGTAAGCTAACCTGTTTAAGCACATCAGGCTCAGCATTATGCATTAGTAGGAGGTTTTCAAGTGAGGTTCGGTGTCATTATGTCTGCCCGAAGTAGGGTTCAAGACCGTTATCATATGGTGACGGGGTGCGGGTGGTACGTTCTCGTCGTTCAACGCGGGTTGTACAGCGGCATGCCAACGTGTCGTGGGTACGGAGGCCGTTTCCCGCCAGGTCTGTGAGGTGGCGTGACGGGACGTGACGCGCCATTGTTGTCACACTGGGCCATCTTTGGCATCCTGTGGCCATCGCGGCTAATCCTTTCCCTCTAGATACTGGACCCCTGTGCTGCGCCAAATCTCTCCTTAATATTTCTCTTGTAAAACAATATCATAACAAGAGATGATACAGGAGAATATCGAGAAAGATACCATTGTGACCGCCCTTGTGCACTGCCACATTACCAGTGCACCCGTGCGCCTTTCCGACAACCTTCGTCTTGTGAATATAACCCAGCGACTGCGCCGCTCGCGTGCCGCAGTCAGGTGGGTAGGGGAGTGACGACGATGCCGAGACAGCTATAGGGAGAGATGTGGCATTTGCCACATTTGAGGACTTCGTCGTACGGCGCATTCGCAAATCTGATGGGTCACATTTATGAACTGATTGAATACATTTGCTTCTTATTCTATGTATAAGTCCAGAGTTCAATGCGGCATACAATGGAGGCAGTGTCAATGTGATCAAACTTCTCTTGCACGACCTAAAGAGGACGTGTTCTGGGTCATGTCAAGCGCTCGCCGGGTGCACGCGCCTCATCACCGCACAAATATGCGACGTGGCCTGTAGTAAATTCATTTCAATTGCTGTTTATCTACCATAAATGCTTTCTGCTACGTGCGTATATATTTTCGCCTGGCCACAGAGGGGTCTGCTAGCGGGTATACCGTTGCTGCGGTGGGTGGCCAGCAGCGTGACAGCGCGTGGCGCTCACTGGAGACCTGGCGGGAAACGGCCTCCGTACGTGGGTTGAACCTGGTGCTTAGGCTTGGCGAATGTTGTGCCAGCGAACTGTGACGCGAGAGATTGGAACCCCGCGGAAGTGAGGGCATGCGGGGATGATATCGCTGTCGGAGGGCGATTGATGTTGGCAGGGTGAAGAGGGAGCGAGAGAGGAGCCAGCCGGGTGACGTTGGTGGGCGCAGGCGAACACAGTTGCGAGGATTTCGATATATCTGCAAGGTAGAGTGTCAATCGTAGCGGAGACAGTGCAGAACGACAACTCACTGTCATTGGGAGCTATGGCGTCGTCGACATCCATTCCCCAGCCATCCTCATCATCCTCCTCTGCGCTATCCTCCTCTCTATCTGTATTTTCCGTACTATCACTTTCAGTGCAGCCTCCTACCCCGTTATCGTCCTCGGTGGTAGCCAGAACCGGAGCAGCATCGAAGCGGGTTGGTGTCGCTGCTAGGTCGAAATCTGGCAGTGATATAGCCGGAACCGGAAGGTGGTAAAGGCCAGCAAATCGTGGATCCGTCTTCAATAGAGGTGTTTCTTGAAGATGAGCCTTGATAGTCGCAGTCAGTGTGGCAATAGTACCTTTGAGAGGGAGGTGGAGGAGGTAGGCAAGATCTTCAACGTCTGCCTTCCGCTTTGGGATGGTCCGAAATCGAACGTTCATGTCGAGCGCAAGCTGCGTTCGGCGACAATGAGCTGCCTCGTCAGTCGCATTTCTGCCGTTGGGTACTACGGCATCGACGACGTCCATGCCCCAGCCGTCCTCGGCATCATCCTCCGTGCCATCCTCCTCCCCGTCTGTATTTTCCGTACTATCGCTTTCAGCGCAGTCTCCTACCCCGTTATCATCCTCGGTGGTAGCTGGAACCGGGGCAGCATCGGAGCGGGTCGGTGTCGCTGCTAGGTTGAGATCTGGCAGCGATATAGGCGGAACCGGAAGGCCGTAAAGGCCAGCAAATCGTGAATCTGTCTTCAATAGAGGTGTTTCTTGAAGATGAGACTTGATAGCCGCAGTCAGCGTTGCCACAGTGCCGTCGAGAGGGAGGTGGAGGAGATAGGCAAGATCTTCAACGTCTGCCTTCCGCTTTGGGATGGTCCTAAATCGGATATTCCTGTCAATTGCAAGCTGCGTTCGGCGACGACGAGTTGCCTCATCTGTTGCATTTCTCTTAGCCTCCTTTGCAGCCTTTGCTGCAGCCTTTGCGTTGTTCTCGCGCAGGCGTTCGGCAAACTCAGCCTCTGCTTGCTCGCCCATCAGGAAGTTGTGGGAGCTCTGAAACCGGCGTGATTTTCGAGTGCTCTTCTGTTGCCTAGTGTTGAGCCGTGATTTGAGTGACTCGATCTCCGCAGATGCGAGTGAACAATGAGCAACGGCCTTTTGGCGCAGGGTGAATTCACTGAGATAAGCTGAGTGGCATGCGTCGAGGTCGTGCTTCAAGATTCGGCACTGCTCAGCAAGTGGCAATCGCCTGTGGATCGGGGGACCGATGAA